CTGAACTCTGAGTTGAGAAGCTTCACGCCATTCTTTTTCCTTCTGTAAAACCACGGAGTCTGAATCGTTTGCAGACATTGGTATTTGCAGCATATTAATAACACATTGAGTGCACGAAGGTCATGCCAACTTCAGCACAGTTTGCTGATATATTTCGACAGTTTGCGATTGTTTTGCGGCGGACAGTACATCTAGTATAGTATATACAGCGATTAGCCCGCCTATTTAAGCTTCATATTGTGCTAAAATACATTCATTGAAGAAAAATTTCTAGTTTCTATATAATATTTTTCTTTGATTTGGTAAAGCTGTTTTGTGCATTGATCGCCCCACGTGTGTCACGCAAAACTACGCTGGTCCCGCGTGGTCGGAGATTACGTAAGAATAGATACATAGGCGTACATACGCTTTGATCAAATTTTAAAATCCAATCCTGGAAGTCAACCTGTTCATACGATCCAATTTTGTCGGATTGAATTCACTTCTGATGAAAGTTTTATAGTTTGTTGAGTTGCAATATATGTGAAATTTATAAGACGCTTTATGATGTCATGATCTCAGATCAGCTGGTTAGTCATGGCTTCAAATACGTCAAAAGGCGCCTGCACAAACTGAGTAGTTCTAAACTCAACATTTTTTAATGTAAAACGGGCAAAAATAAAAATTCTAATTGATTTTGACGAAAAAACAAATGCATTTTTACATTGAAATAATGAACTAACTAAAATTTTTCAAATGCCGCAGTTATATGATATGAAGGATATGATAAGCCAGTCTTCAGTGAAGCAAAGGATATGGCTTCTTATTCGTTGATTTTTTCACTCAGATTACCTGGGTATGCAATGCCGTAGAGGGTGACTGACTTTTTTTTCATCCATACCATTCCATCATTTTAATGTATGTTCGCCAAAAAAACACCCCAGACAGGTTTGTGAAATTAGTACTTCCGTTTTGGACAAAAGATGTCGGATCGGCGTAAATTCTTCTTTCAACGAGAGCAACCCCCCCCCCCCTATCACGTACCAATTTGTGTCTAGATTTCACCGTTTTGGAAAAATGATTTCACGAACAATTAAGGGGTGTCGCATTGCTATTCCATTGTCAAAACGTGAACATTGATGCTAGTTGCTCAGCCTTCACAAAAGTTGCTCTAAACTACCTGGAAATTTTTTCAATAATAATCATTTCTATATGACGCATTTCTCGTTTTTTGGGTTTCGCTTTTATTTTGTGGAGCAATGCAGACGAGGCGTAGAAACTTCCCGCCCCCGTGTCGATTACGGCGCGACATTTAACACTATTTATATTAACAACTACGACAGGATAAACGACAGAACTATAAGACTAAGTAGCATGTCATTAAAGGGCGCAGCAGGAGGCTTCGTATCACCCGGGAGGTCACAAATCAAGGTATGATGTCTACGCTTACATTTGGTACAAAAAAATCGGCTTCGGCAATCAGAAGCACAATGATCGGCACGGTTAAAACACAAATGCTTATCGCTTAGATACTTCTTTCGTTCCGCAGACGTAACCTTTAATACGCCTTAAAAGGCGTTCACAACACGGATCGAGTAAACAAAAAAAGCGAGCTGTGTCAGTGTGTCGTTTTGCTTGCGTACATTCGAATATAATTTTGATCAAGTCACAGAATATGTATGCATGCAGTGTCGTTTAGCTTCGATCGAGTATGCTCAGAAAGCGTACATTCACATATACCTGGGTGCACATATTAAAACGCACCGTATGTGTCGTATGTCCGAAAACTGTCCTCACGCACAAAGAAACAGAAAATTGAATAAAAGCTAATAAACGGTCAAAAATATGTCCAAATTGATTTAACAAAATCAAGCCGGATTCGCCGCGTGGAAGAATTAAGTCTTGCGCGTATTTTACCGTTTGACTTTTATTTCAAAGCTTTTGGCATATTTATAGTGTTTCAAAGCGATCTTTCTTCCGTAAATAACCGAAATTTCCATTCTCAATGGCGTAGGGAGAATACCGAGATTGGGGGGCGGGCTCTAACTAATAGAAAGGGCAATTAAAAATATGTATAGGGACGGTTTTATTGCCAAAGCACCAAAGACACGACTAGTAAGTAGTGACTGTAGTGTGGTTTATATTCATCATGGTCTACACAAAGATTAGGAACGGGTAAGTGGGCGTACCTGTAGGCCCTGGGCGTACATTGGAAACAAAAAAGGCCACCTTCGATTTTAAAGTTGTATTTACAGAATTACCATTTCCAAAAAGGCATTTTTCACCAAAACCCCGGCACTTTTGGGCCCTAGGATTCTTTTCTTTTGGGGGGGGCACGTGCGTAGTATCAAAAATTCTTCGTCGTTACTGATAATTTCGAAATCACTTGCTTCTTATGTCCCGCGTTGAATAAATGAATTGGTATAAATACTTTGATGATGATAATTTTGTTTCTTGTCTAAAACGCACAAAACTGAATCTTATTCCTAGCTTTTACATTGTAATATCAACGTGAAATTTGCCATACGCCTAAATATATGCCGCCCAGGTGAAGAAAATGGTTACGGTGCGATTGTTTTGTATTTTTAATCTGCATTACAATTTTATTTCATATTTAAATGCCAGGACACATTAAACGAATGTTTAGTCCACTTGTTTTTGGTACATTTTGAAGTACAAGTTTAACTTATATTTTATCAATGAACATGCATGTTTTGTTTCAACAATTCCAATTGAAAATTTCCCAATATGCTTATAACCGACCGGCGTGTGCCCAGACGTTTTGCCGCAGTGTTCTGGGGCCCGGTCACGTGTCACTACCCTACATGTGGTAGTGACGTAATCATCGCGGGTTCTCTTTGCACATGCATGCAGTTAGTCTTTTGCGAACAACAGAAGCTACGCGTCATGACTATACGAAAAATGTATTCAATTCATTCTTACAGTAATTTATTTCGACTAACGTCTATATATTAATGCCATTTTAATAGATATACCAAAACATTCCTTCAAATACCTTTATATTTCAACAATTCAGCTCTCAGCTTATTTCCCATTTTAATCAACTGTTTGCGTTCTTTTGTTAATCCATTAATCCGTTGAGCAGCTTGACGTAGTTTGGTGTGTAATCCTTCAGCTGACGATACAACTCCCTTCATACCAAAGATTTCTGAAAAAAAGAGGAAAACGTTTAAAATTCAAATCCTGACTAAATCATTCAAATTTTATGAAGTGAATTTAAAGTTTGTTATGTGTTGATGAGAAATTTTAGGTTTTCAAGCCGCAATCAATTTACTGTTTTGGAAAAGGTCGTAATTTACCAATTGTGAACGGTTTGGAATGAAATAAATCTCCATAGACAGGCGTCATAGCTATATCACGTTATTTTAGGTGGACCAGGACAGCAAGAGATATGCATTCTATATATGGTCTAACAACTGACAGTGGTTGGGTTACATCATGCACGATCTATACGTTTCAATTAATTCAGTAGATTTAGAATGTTCTACGGCAGTCGTGATTATTAAGATTCTAAACACAAATAAAGATAGTATTTCAAAACCGTCAGAAAGTACACTCATTTTTCTCTCGAAGGTCTTGTATAAACTGACTTTCTGGATTGTACGTATTCAAAGGTTTTGCGTGACTGGCAAGATCCAATTTTAATGCTGACAACTGCAGAAAAGCAATGAGAAAATGCAATCATCTCCTGCCTGTCACACAATTCTTGACTAGATGTTGCTAAAATTTCTACCTCAGGTAGTTTATCTGCGACAACCATAACCCATACTTTTCATAAACGATCCCTGTAGAAACTAGAATTTCTGTCTAATTACACCGAATACAAAAATTTTGGACATTACGCTCTCAAAACAGATAAATGTCAAACGATTATCAGTAATTCTTCCGTATCCACACTATCGCCTGTAGGCCGTGTTACACTCACTCATTGAGTGTGACATACAAATTTTGTCATCACCGATCAAAGAGAAAGTTATTTCTTAGTTGATACAAAGATTTAACGAAAAACACTGAAAATTAAGCTCTTATTCCAGTGGAAATACCGCCATGGAAATGTTATGACTCCCACTCATAAAATTTGAGTGAGCTTTTAAAATACAGAATTTCTTCGCTAACTCGAACCCCCAAGGGCAAAGGAAAATTGTTCGAGTTACCGCGGGGGTTCGAGTTTACCGGAGTTAGTGTAATATTACATTTATTATATATAAGTAATACAATAAGTTATAAAATCCAATCGAATCCTTCTTCAAGAGATATCATGCCTACCACTGGCACGACATTTTAAAATTAAAAAGATCGAGTGTATGTTAAAAAAATTCAATGTGTTAACATATTCAATTTACGCTTTGGCTTTGGTTAGTATATTCAATTTACGCTTGCATTTAAAAACAATTTATATTCACAGAACGCCGAAAGAAGGAGAGTTAATAAGATCATAATTATTTGTCCGGGCTAGCATGCAAATTAGCAAACATATTTTAATGCAAGCGGATATTAGAAGCCAATTGGACAAAAATACTAGCTAATCGCAATTTTTTCCATTTATGAATGCGTGATTATAATCCAGATTTCAATTTTTTAAACGGTGTTTAAGAAAACCGGAGATTATTTTAATGTCTGTAATGTTTAACACAAGTGAAAACCCGTTGTTCGAGACTGAATGAAATTTACCTTGTGCGATAGTTTTTATACATGGGTGCCGTAAAAATGTGTCTCGTTCTCTTGTTGCTAAACAAAGTGGCTCAGATGGCAGATCATTAGATTAAGTTAAAGTGAGCAAATTATCAGTACAATTTATCTACGATGATATTTGCATACATTCAACAACCAAAACATCTAAATTAGCAAGAAGCTCTTTATAGAATGATGTAGTCAATTTATTAGCACGGGACAGCTAAAATTGGTGCCTGCGTCCAATTTGATGCACAGCAATTTAAAGCACAGCGCATCCATTTTGACCGTGCCAATAGTTTGCAGCTAAAATTTACTGGTTCACTTACTGATCAAAACCAATCTCGTCATATATTCTTTCGGCATTCGCGTTAGTTGATATGAAAATACTTTTTGTCAAGCCAATCAACCACATAATATTCTTTTGAGAGAGCTGTCCTCGCAGCCAGTTCCCAACGACGTGAAATTCTATGACGCCACGCTTCTCTTCACGACGAGCTGCCTCGTCTCGTCCAATGTGTCACCCAGGGTAAAAACCGTGCTTTAAGTACATAGTTTAAACGAAATTGACTTTTTGTTTTGAAATTGACATCTCCGAGACCTTTGTGTAGACCGTAAATATACAGTTGGTATTCAGCCAATAATGAAAACTGTTTAAAGTTTGTCAAATATTTTCACTAAATTCTTGGCAAGCTTCCTTCAGTAAATTAACCTGCACACGCTGGTTTTACTTCTATTTTCAATTTACAACAATTTCATGAAACAACTCTCGTACAACAATCTAAACGATCTCAAAACGCTCTAAGACAGTCTGCATTTATAATAATAATACAGCTCCACACATTTACTTATAGTCCCGGGCCCGGTTGTATCAATGCCGTTTAGCTTAAACGGCGGATAAGTCAAAATTAAATAATACTCTTACATCTCTCTTGAATGGGTCAACTATCCCGTCCAAAAGGAAAATCGGAATTGAAAAGGCAAGTAAATCTTTGGAACTGTTGTAGAATATGATAAACTGACCGAAATTCGCAAATATAGTAAATTTAAATCCAGTGGCAATATGGCGTTTTACGGCCATGATATCCTAGTTCGATAAATCTTATTAAATGGAGCTTTCTTTCAACGTAGGTGTAAAGGGGATTGAGATTTATAAATGGCTATTCCCAGCCAAATTTCGTTCTACATAAACACGTGATGTTCAGCTGTTGTTTGCTCTATACACTTGATCGTACTTCTTCGCTTCACTATCCCGTCCACAGGAAAATCAGAATTTAAAAGGCAAGTAAATCTTTGAAATTGTTGTAGAATATTATAAACTGACAAATTCGCAAATATAGTAAATCTAAATCCAGTGGCAATATGGCGTTTTACTGCCATGATCCTAGTTAAATCTCATTAAAATGGAGCTTTCTTTCAACCTAGGTGTAAACGGGATTGAAGATTTATAAATGGCTATTCACAGCCAAACTTCGTTCTACATAAAACACATGATTTCAGCTGTTGTTTGCTCTATACACTTCGAATATTCTCATCAAATGTATTACAGTATGATCGTATTTCTTCAATTCGCTTTACTATCCCGTCCAACACGAAAATCGGAATTGAAAAGGCAAGTAAATCTTTGGAACTGTTGTAGAATATGAAACTGACAAATTCGCAAATAGTAAATTTAAATCCAGTGGCAATATGGCGTTTTACGGCCATGATATCCTAGTCCGATAAATCTTATTAAATCGAGCTTTCTTTCAACCTAGGTGTAAGAGATTGAAGATTTATAATGGCTATTCACAGCCAAACTTCGTTTACTAAAACACGTGATGTTCAGCTGTTGTTTGCTGTATACACTTCGAATATTCTCATCAAATGTTTTTCGCTTCACTATCCCGTCCAACAGGAAAATCAGAATTTAAAAGGCAAGTAAATCTTTGAAATTGTTGTGGAATATGATAAACTAACAAATTCGCACATATCCTAGTTCGATAAATCTCATTAAAATGGAGCTTTCTTACAAGGGTGTTATGTGTATATGAAAGAAAACAACCTGTATTTTTTTCTGTATTCTTGTGTTATAGATATCACAAAATACATACTGTACACTAGTACACTACAGTATAGACCCTCTGTGATTTATATCAATCATAGTTTCAATTGTATGAAAATGATGTTCTTGTAATCTCCATTGTAGAGCAAAGGCCGCGCGAATCATTTGTTTTATGTTTATCAACTCGAACTGGAACACGCGATTGGAACAAGATGGCTTCCAGCAATGGGAAATATGTTAAAAATGTAGTGGATATGTTTTGTGTTCTCTTCATATCATGAAAGGGTAAGTAATTTTTGAAATTGTATGCATAAATTGTTTGTCTTAAGGGACCGGTCATTATTAATGGCCGGGGGTGGGACCGAAGAGAAACTCCCAAAGTCCAAAAAAATTTTTACCCACCCATTCAACATCAATAATTTTCCCTGACCCACCCAACATCTTTCAGGTTTTTTCCTAACAACCCCACCGAGTTTGCTTATATACAATATCACAAAAAGTGGTATTGACGAGTATACCTGTCAATGTTCCACCAAATCGAAAGCCGTGGAAATTACACACACTGGTATTAACTGGTCGAGAAGCACGTTTATGTTGAGTATTATAATAGCAAGTTGGCAAGAAGAGATTTATTTATTATTGACCACTGAAATTGACCATGCACTGAAATTGACCCGATCTTACATCATCGGAATTCATGGGAATTATAATGAATATCATGTCTAATCCCAGTTGTCCTCGAATTCCTGTAAATCACATGGCACGTTGTTTGTTTTGAAGGAGAATCTAGTGAATATTCGAGATGGCTGAGAATTTAACGTTCGAAAATTTTATGTCTTCATTGAAATTTACTGAGGAATATCTGCAGCGTTTTAAAGACACTGGCTTTGACGATGTGGAGTTGATCAAGACCATGGATGCTGAAGAGAAACAACAAATGTTTGATATTGTTGGCTTGGTCATTTGTTGAAATTCAAGAAAGCTCTTTCTAGTCTTGAAAAGCCATCGATTGACATCGTTGGAGGCACGAATGATATAAATATGAATACAACACCAACGACGACCAAGCCGACTTGTGTTAAACGAGGAAAGGCTCAATGTAGTAAGTGGATTTCAGGAAGGGTTAATTCCCAATTGTTGATTCCCAATTGTTAATTCCCATTTGTTGGAAAAGATACAATGACTTCCCTTCAGATGTTAAGGTAGATGATGTCTCCAAAAGCCAACGTGCGGTTGAGCATTTTAATGGAACTATAAGTTCATTAAAGTCCTTGAAAGATCAACTGTTGTCAAGGAAAAAGGAACTCTATAATGAACATATGGAGGAAAATTCATGGGCTGGTGATGAAATTAATGTGTTTGTTGATATCGTTGAGGCTAACATATATGACAAATATGTGTTAGCCTCAACGATAAACCACTGAAAAACGTTACTTCAAAACCGTTACTTGGCGTCATTATGAATCACAATTTGTCCTGGGAAGATCATATAAACACCACTGTTTCAAAGATGAATAGGAGTATAGCTCTACTTCGTAGAATTAAACGATATTTACCGTTACAGACACGGAAACTGTTCTTTAATGCGCACATTCTTCCACACATGGATTATTGTTCCATTGTTTGGGGTGGTTCACCTCATGTTAAGAAGATTAATTTACTCAAAAAGAGCAGCCAGAGTAATTTTAGACATCACGGATAATCGTTACCCCAGTAAAGATATGTTTTTAACCTTAAATTGGATGCCTATCGAGGATCGTATTAAGTATCGTAAAGCTATTATGGTCTATAAAAGTCTAAATTATTTAAGTCCGGATTATATGACAAATATGTTTAGGTTTGTCAGACAAGTTCATACAAGGACAACCCGATCAAGCTCTGCAAATGATCTGTATTTGCCTCCAGGAAAACATAAACAGATATATACGAACACGTTTGGATATAGTAGTGTAAAGATATGGAACACATTAAGTTCAAACATTAGAGAAAGTGTATCTTTAAACGATTTTAAGAGGAAATATTTAACTAATTATTTTTTAACTAGTAATTAACAATTTTTTACCTTTTGTAAATAACTTCAACTTGTATTTTTAACTAAATAGTGAGGGCCCTGGGGAAGATAAGTCTTTTGACTTACCAGGTATATTAGCTATGTAATATTTTTAACCCTCTGCAAATAAAGTTTATTGATTGATTGATTGATTAAATTTATTTGTGAATCAATTTTCCAAATTGAGGAAATGATGAATGGAATTGAAAAGATCATGCATGATGTTCAGCATGTAATGCATCAACTTGAGAAGAGGTTTGATGCAGCTGATGTTCGAAAGACTGAAAAGAGAAGACGGGCCAGGAGAGATAAAGAAACCAGAACAAAACTAAAAAAGGAAAAAAGGATTGTGCAAGAAAGGCATGAAGCACAAGTGGCTGAGCAAGTGGAATGTGCAAGTTTTTCCTCAGTTGAGGATGCTCTTGTTTATAACATTGATGTTGAATGACTGACAGACAGTATCCTAAAACAGTACATTGTATTATTGTACAGTATTTCATGTAGTCTCAGTATTTTAAGAATAATATAAATTTTATCTATGCTAAAAAAATTTTACCCACCCCAACCACTATTCCATTTTTTCTTAACCCACCCTTGGGTACCTTCAAATTTTTCTTTACCCACCCCTTTTCTCTTCGGCCTTAATTCCACGGGCTAAATTTTCAAGCGAAATGCGAAATATTTCTCCTGCTTCTTTTGAATTGTGAGCAATGATGCATAATTAATTGATTCAAGCGGTCAAAATTCAAAAGAAACAGACGAAATATTTCGCATTTCGCCGAGAAAAGGCGCCCGTGGAGTTAGGCCCTTAGAGTTAGGCCCTTAGAGTTAATATGTGGATATCAACATGTTTCATTGTGAATTTTAAAATTTAGAGAATGGCATCGACGATATGCCTATAGAAATGTCCATTGCAATAATCTGTTTAGTAAAACTCTTGAAGGCTGCTGAACGGCGTTTGCATCAGCGCAAATAAAAAAATAAAACAATGCTGGCAGCAGATCATGAGGTTTGTTTGCCCCAGCAACCCTTTTGGACTATAATATGGTTGACATCTAATATAGGATTTCTTCATTTGTCACCTACATTCATTGAAATCTACAAAAGCTTTATAAAAACTAATAGCACTATTATAGAGCACCTGTATTATATATTTTTGGAAGAAACCATGTAATTTTGCACTATATCAGTGATGACATAAGCCTTATATGGGGGGCACCTGTTCCTCAACACACACAGTGCCCCCCTGGCAAAAATCCTGTTTACAGCCTTGGGGCCAGTTGTTCAAAAGGTGCATGGATAAAGTTATCCACTGGATAGTGACCTAATTTTTCAACTGTCGTAAAAAAGCTTTGAAAAACAAGAAAGCTACTTATGACCCTTAAAAGTATTTTAACTTCACAACTGTGAAGTTAAATCTTGGCTATGCCAAGTGGTGAAGATATGGCATATATAATTGCCTGGATTTTGCCCATAATTGCACACTGAAACCTCCCACCAGATTGTTCAAAAACCTTATCTGGTAAACAGTATCATTACCTGCTCAACCAATATCAGCCATTCAACCATCAGTACCAATCTGGATCTGTATTTATATATGCTTAAATAGTTGCAATTATAGCATAGTAAATTCATATACCTGCGTAATATATGTTTGTTTCTGTAGGCGAGACCTAAGATCTCTTGCTTCTTTAGCAATGTTGCACCATTTCGCAGAATGTTTCTCGGTGAGCAGTTTTCGTTTGTTACACTCTCTGCGACCTTTCGAGGTAAAGCTTCAGATGCGGTCGAACGCTTAATTATGGCGCGCTGTTGACGCATTCTTTCTTCGATGACGCATTCGTTTATTCGGGCCTCAAAGTTGGCTTTTTTTCGTGGCTTTTTCACCGGAAGTGACGTACATTGGAGAACAGAGGGACCTGTACATGAAGAAAGAAGGCTGCTTTTATTTTGCAAAACATCCGGACTATCCCAGTGTCAGATTGGAAAGTGAAATAGATAAAGGCACTATATTATTACATATAAAGCACGTGTTTTCTTGCCTGTTGATTTCCAAAAGCTGTTTGAAAATACTGACATTTCACCCTATTGTTTCTTTAATTGACGATATTGACGATACGAATTTCTATGTTGATTTGTACTATATTACACTGGCGAAATTTGACTCATGAAATCACAGGATCGAACTATCTAAATTCTCCCGCAAAATCCGAAAGCAACCATCCTCGTAGTACAATTTTCTTTAAGAATTAACTTCAAGATATTAAAAATTTTATAATAAAAGATAATATGAAACCAGACATTTTTCTCCGATTTTATTTTTCTGTAACTTACCCATTGCAATACCCAGGCTTGTCAAGTAGTTCACGTTGTTCCTGTGGAAAAGGGGACGCCCTTAGAATTGCCACTGATAGTGTAGTGGTATTATAGCATGTACACCGCTTAAAAATAGTGGTAATCCAGAAAAGAAGAGGGGTTAGAGACTCTCCTTTCAAAATATATTACAAAATTTCTACTTGTTTTCGTACGAAGAATTTAAAACTGCGGAGTCGGGTACTGTTTTGAGGATTCAAACAAACATCTGATGTTTCTTGATGACATGTGGATTTTGAAGTTCCACTGGTATATCGCTGTAGGATGAAATAAGTTCCGATTAAATTTCCTGCAGTTACACGTAATTGTAGAGATATGAATCCGATCAGCATAAGTATATCGCTCATGCATATATATGTTGAGTTGAGCCTAAATTTAGTGTGTATATTTAATATAGTGAATACCAAACAATATCTGACGATACTGTATACGCCAATGGCAATGGCCGAATAGCCCAATATAAACATCTCTTAGTGGTAGTACCTTGTTGCAGCAAATTATAGTAATGACACGTCTTTGCATGATAACACCTTTGTACAGCACAAATGCCTCTGAAAATAGTCAAGAGAACTTTCATGAACTGTGGGGATTACTACCTTATTTTAAGGGCAAAATATTGCGAGGGTGGTTATACAACCTGTGCACCTATACAGTAGATAGTAAATTATTCAGTGTATCGACCGTGTAAGAAAATGGGTACATGGTATGTAGAATTTGAGCTACAAACCTACTTACCAACGGTCAATGAAGTCATTTACACTTGCCTTGGCCGTGTGTGTTTCTTGTTCAAGAACCTGGGGGTGAATGCACAGCTGGTCACCTGATCCTGGCACACATACGTTCGGTCTCAAACATAAAACAATAGAAAACGTCAATTTCAACAGTTAAATCTTCGTTTCCCGGTTTTGCTTACCTAAACGTGAGAAACACAGGAGTTTCTTGTAAAACATCCGAGGCTCGTATCAATTTTTTTGACGGTCTGTTATCAGGATGTGTTTGACTTGTATGTTTCGATCATAGTTTCATGTCCATAGCTTGTTTCATGTCCAGGATGCACGAAATTATTCCTAACTTTTAATTCTTAACCTCACCCTAACCCTGACCTAATTGCTTATACTAAAAGATTTGAATCAAGGATTATATTCGCGGACACTGGACATGAAATTATTACTTATTTCCACCAAATCTGACAGGTTTTTAGCAGATTCGCCAACAAGCTTATTACTATACAAGGTTTTAAACTTGACAAGCCGTCTTAAATGTATGTGTTTAAAGACTTTGGTATTAATACGTCGAAAAAATACAGTAGACACCATACCTTTCTTTAGCAAACAACAAGAAACAGCACCCTTGTTCTCTGGGTTGCAAACGTTTTCATAAAATCCTTCCATTGCCTAAAACAGACCATAAATCCTTTGATAAACCTCAATCAGCTTGTTCATTGCGAGTTTAGTTGAACATAACCTCCTGATCAAAATGATCCGTTTTTCGTCCTCGTAAAAACGTACAGATGAACTGTTTAACTATATATTCATTTGTTAAAAAGTCTAGTCTTAAGATTTCGCTGGATGGCAATAGAACTAACCTCTGTAAATTCGTTTTTTCGTCGTGGCTCAACAAAAATAGTTTTTTGTGTCTCAAGTCGGTTCCATAGACCAAAACTCTTACAAAACAAAGGATAATCATTGTGAATTAACGTAACGGACTAGGATATGAAATATCGTTCCTATATCAGTTTTAACAACACACAAAACCCTAACCGATTTAGAATTTCGATCTAAGGAAGCACCATCAAAAGGTCCAGTAAGATTAATCTGTATAAAAATCACATTAGCTGTATTTATACAAGAGACGAACAATTCATCGGGACGAACCTACACAAATTTTATATTAAAAGGTAATATGAAACCAGACATTTTCCTACGATTTAATTTTTTTAACTTACCTATTGCAATCCCCATTTTTGTCAAGTAGTTCACGTTGTTCCTGTGGAAAAGGGGACGCCCTTAGAATTGCCACTGATAGTGTAGTGGTATTATTGCATGTACACCGCTTCAAAGTAGTAGTAATCCAGAAACGATGAGGGGTTAGAGACTCTCCTTTCAAAATATATACTAAAAAATTTCTACCTGTTTTTGTACGAAGAGTTTAGAACTTTTGAGGATTCCAACAAACATCTGATGTTTCTTAATGACATGTAGATTTTGAAGTTCCACTGGTAAGCCCTTATAGGTTTCCTAAATCAATCACCGTTATTAAAAAATGACTATACAAAAGATCATCTTGTAGCTTAATGTTATGGTGGACGTAATTGATCACCTTTGTCGCCACCAGCTGCTTTGCTGGTTGACCAAACATCCAGTTGCTTCCTCTTCCAACCGTCATTCGCTTGCTGTTGAACATGAACCTAAAAAACACAAGAAACTTAATTTGGCTACAGCAATACATGAATTGTCTCATTTTTCATTAACTACCTGCCATGCAGAGTTTACTTTTAATACACACAGGTTGAGATGATTGCACCGTAAATGTGCCAGCTTGTTGCACATCTTTCTTTTCGCTCGACCCTAATGCATCGCTGTTCTGAAAAACTACCTGGGATGCAATAATGTGGAAAGATTGGACTAGATTTTATCCGTGAAAATGATTGTTTACGAAAATGATTGTTTACAACAATTACGACACAAAGGAAACCAGGTTAACGACTGCTTGAAGACATGTAGATAAGTGGAGCTACAAGAAAGCTATTACAGCAATAAACGTCAAAAAATATCAACATACGAGCCCTTTCCCCAAATTTCTACCACTAAGTCTTCTATCATGTCAAAGACTACTGTATACGTACTTTCAAGGCGTCCGCGAACTGTCTTTGTATTGCACCACCAATTTGATCTACATTGAAGAAGATTTGCTTAAATAATGTATGCATTTCATTTCCCAGTTTTAACAATAGGTTGCTGCAATACTGGCATATTGAATCATGCAGAGCTTGCTCCAACTCGATAATCGCCTAAAATTCTTTGCACATCCAAATTTAACAAATGAAATGTTGAAACAAGCTCGGAAACCACTTCATAAACTCACTTGCAACGGAAAATGAAATCACTTTCTCGAGTGATTTCGTACTTTGACCAGAAGTTCGAAAATGTAACTGGGTGACAAAAAGACAAAAGACTGCAAAAGTTAAGGCATTTCTAACGAGGCTGCAGTCATATAATGCTTGTTTCAACAATGTTTTCAAATAAATTGTATACTGCACCTGCCGGGATGTGTAATTATTTGGAGGATGAAGATGTTACAGTATGCAATTCTTCCTCTAGCTTCAAGACCAAGCCTGGAAAATAAACAAAATTGACCCAATTATAATACGAAATCAGGCTAGCAAATCACGTCAAAAGAGGAGGCTGGGTATTATAAATGAACTAGCCGTAATCTGATTGGCTTGATAACCGATGCAAATCACTAGCTGTTCAATGAACTGCGTACAGCTGAGAAGAGGTATACAAAAATATTCCTAGCCACCATTTTAGTATTCCTCAATTTCCATTCGTGGCTTCACCTACTACACGTTCCAGGTATATTTTTATTGATTATATTTACAAGAGGCCCATTTTGATGTGCGGTTTCAATCCTGATATCATGACTGGCAACCGAAAGCTATACATATACCTTTTATGTATGCGATTTCCTGTTTATCCAAATCTCCATCATCTGGTAAACAGAAATACGAGATTTTTAACACAGCTGATTGTACAAAAAGGCGATCAACTATGGTTAGCGGCAGAATTGCTCAATCAGAATCCTCTCTTTAGGGGGTACATTGATATTTCGCAAAAGATTTCTTAATTTACGAAACTTTAAGAACCATACCAGAGAGAAATTCTAACAGTGGTATGACAACTTGAGGCGTTGGCGAAAGTTTAGTAAACTTTTCCAGATATGTTGGGAGCAGTCTAAGGAACGAAAATTTAGAAATTATTGCTCAAAAAACCTTGTATTTGTGAAGGAGTATCTCGCATAACAAGAGACGTTACATTTAGGCTGGAGTTTGTTGAAATACATTTCTGTAAATTCACTGAGTGCATTATCAAGGCACGATTTCAAATATCTCCAAAGCAATAAACTTATAAAACGCTGCAATTACTTAAATCAACTTCATTCTTTACAAAGTGCTAATGGACATAAAAAAGTCTCAAATTCCAGACTATCTTAAGTAGCCTTACCTTGCCATAACTGGCAAGGCATTTCTAACATACATATGGTGAGACAGGATACGCATAACGTCGCGGAATGAGCAACCAAACTAATCTGCAAAGTACGCATCAGACAAAACTAGACGAAATATACAACAACGTTTAAGCGAGAACAGACAACGGCTGAAAATAAAGTCAAGCAGGTTCTTACTTGTTCATCTTGACCAATGAAAATGTGGTACGTACACAGCTCTGTTAATACCTTCACATGTTACAATAAAATATCCAATTAAATTATTAGTATGGTATGATACACTTATGGTATAAATTCGTTATGGTATGGTATGGTGTGATATAATTATGGTATGATATGGTTATCGTATGGTATGATTTGGTCATGGTATGGTATGGTGTGATATAATTTTGGAATTATATGGTTATCGTATGGTATGATTTGGTTATGGTTAGTTATGGTATGATATGATTATACGATATGATTATATGATATGTTGTGGTATGGTTATGGTATAGTATGGTTTTGGTATAGTTATGGTAAGATATTATGATAGATGCAAAAAACTGAAGGATAAGAACCGTACTGAAAAATTCTAGCGTACAAATGAGGTCGGCGCATATCATGAGGAACACGAAATAATCCAGGAAGAAAATCATAATTTCAAACCTGAATGCAAAGTAAAATTTTTAGTTCATGATTTTGGTGTGAAAAGTGCACAACTTTACTTCCCTTACCATTTTAGATAACACTGTACATATTAAACGTAAGTAGTGCTTTCAAGAATGTATCAAGTTTTTATCTTGCAGTGCCTCTGGAAAGTTTCTCAGAACAACATACAACACCTCCCATTCCAATTTCTAGAAAATCAAGAAAGTTGTACTTCAATCGAAACTTAATACCAGATGATATATTATGATGGAAAAGTTTACCTGTTGTAAGCACACAAGAATAACATTCATTGCCTCGTTTTAAAGCAGTGAGACAATCCCGGTTGTCTTATCTTCTGCAGAACTAAAACAAAAATGAGGATGTATTGAATTTGAATTTTTTGAATTTAATCACATTATTACCAAAAAGTAGAGGTAACAGGTGGCTGAACAGAGCATGGCCCCAATTGACATTAGCTACCGGTAAAGCAACCAGAGAGGTGCTGAAATCACCTAACGCTCGCCGGCACTGTTTGTCTAGAATAAGGCTAAACTCTGTATGAAAGGTATCTGTATGAAGCACAAATTACCGATCTTTTTATTACAAATTACAAGGCTAAAATCCGCGTTGGAAGGTAATATTAAGCACAAACTTCAGATATTAGTTGTGACCTCAGAATTACTGGCCAAAACTGGCCTCGGAATTACATTAGTTTTATTTGTGACCAATATTTCTTCCGTTTCTCGCAATCCGCGCACGTGATATCAACAGGTATGTTAACGGACCAGGCAAAAGTCCCTGCTTTAAGCCGGGCGCACACACAACGATTTTACGGTAGTTGGTCTATTCAGGTTTAGACATATAGGAAGCCCTTGCCCAGACATTTTTTCCTTCTCGCGGCGCTCGCGCCTCGCGCGTGCACGCGAGTCTACTTGGTCTAATATTATGACCACTGACCTATAAAATTATAGCTCAGTGATTATGACCAAGTATAGAGTGCCAGTCGCCACATTTTGATGAAAACATCCATCTAGACAATCTAGACAGGAATCAGCCGACTAAAATCGTCGTGTGTGCGCCTAGCTTTATGAAAATCTATCACAAAAAAGGATTATGCATCAAACAACGAAAAGGTATGTACATAAATCTTATAGGTAGTTCAAAGGGCCCTGTCTACAATTTAACTGGCTTTTAATATATTTGCATGTGTATCTACATAAATAATATGCAAATATATGTCACATGCGTTGCCATTTGCCTTTGTATTCCAAGCATATCGGCTTTCTACTTATAAATACTTATGTGCTAAAGCTTGTAATTGCGAATTATCTGACAATATTCTTTAAACTTTAACATTGGACTATGTTTTATATACATAATCATTTATAAACACAATCTCATAATTTATAATTGTACATGTACAATACAAACAAATGGTAGCATACAGGTGAAAATATTTGAAAGTTTCTCATATGGCTTAGGGTTGTACAAATACTTTCGTTAAATATGTTTCAGCTACAAATTTGAACTAAAAAAAACAGGGCTACACAATAGCCCTGAAAATCGTAATGAGCGTGATAACTCTGGATAACTCTAACATTGACCTTATCATGATGCTAATAAGCTTAACATTTGCCTTATCATTTGATAATTTTGAGCAAAGCTCTCTTTATTATTGTATAAATGTGTACCAAATGGCACTGAATAGTCACAAGACATATCGATGACTTATATTTATGATGATTCCTCTGATGTAAAGCCATAATATTTAAAAAATATAACATCTTAACATTGACCTTATCATTATGCTAAATAGCTTAACATTCACCTTATCATTTGATAATTTTGAAAAAAATTCCCATTATTTTTGTGTAAATGTGTACTAAATGTCACCATATAGTCACAAGACATATCGATGAGCTCTATTTATGATGAATCTTCTGATGTAAAGCCATAATATTTAAAAAATATAACATCTTAACATTGACCTTATCATTATGTTAATTAGCTTAACATTCACCTTATCATTTGATAATTTTGAGCAAAACTCTCTTTATTATTGTATAAATGTGTACCAAATGGCACTAAATAGTCACAATGCATATTGATGACTTATATTGATAATGATTCCTCTGATGTAAAGCCAAAGTATACAAAAAATATAGCATTTTAACATTGACCTTATCATTATATTTTGTTGTATAATGTTCACTCCCCCCTGGTAAATGGTTCTTTTGCAACAAAAGACTCCTTAAGTAGATAATTTGAAAATAATGGGAAAATAAAAGTGGCATCTTAACATTCTACTTATCATGTAGTGTGGACGCGGACGGGGACAGGGACGGGGACGTGAACGCCAAGCCTATAGCAATAGCTCTCTTGCACTAAAGTGCAGGCGAGCTAAAAAGGAATTTTGAAAGCAGAATACCTGACATGCGTTGCACTATCATCATTAACCAACCTTTTTCTTTCAGAACAAATAACATACGAAGTGAATTTAACTTTTCCAATTTTTTCTTGCACAAGGCCTAGATGTTCTCAGCTCGCAGACTGAGGAAACATTGTAGAATCTTCAAAAAACCACAATGTAAGACATCATAGAAAAATCGCGAGAAATAACATTGAATTTGGCTTACCACAAGTCGTAACTCCGATGCAATAGACGTCCGATAGCGATTGTCATAATGAGTTTTTATGTGGTACATTAATATATTGAATATTCGTTCTGCAATTACATAATAGGAAAAGAAGAATAAAAAAATTATATTTTATATAACACCAGTGTAAAATGATTGATAAATGGAACTGTACAGCAAAATAGGCTATTACTCCTTACAATAATGTTGCACAGAAGCAAGACATTAAATATCTCAGAAATATTTGGGCTAAAGACCCCGGAATACCACTAAATGATAGCGGTTGAAACGATTATTTGAATAGTATATTCCAACCAGCATATAGTTATAACCTGCATTTGTATTATAAGTAAAAATTATAATCAAAATAATAGGTTGCTTTGTTATCTCAAATTACTCACCCATAGCAAGATATATTTTAGAAATTCCATATCTTTTCGCTTTTTTGGTACTCTGTTGTCTTCAAAATGTCCAAATTTTACATGTTATCAATCTGTTGTAATTCTGAGTTATTCTTGGGCTAGGATGTGCAAAAGAATCGAAGAAATAGCATTTAAACAACACTTATGAAAGTGCTAAGCGATAATCGTTGGTAAGCACGTGCTTAAGACAAACTCGAATAGGAACTAGGTCAGAATTTCGGCTTTTTGCCCGAATTTGTTTTCCATATTTTTATTATAATGAAATATTATTGCCGGTGATGCGATAATTCATATCATCAGGTATGTTTATATAAAAAATCGGCAAAAATCTTCTAAAGGCTCGATTTTGACGCTAAATATATCAAAATAGTACTGAATATTTGATATTAACCACTGCAACCGGTTTTCGTTTGCATTTTGGGCAATATCCTAAGGATTAGGCCGCTTTGATGTGTAATATTGAATATATAAAACGCGTGAATAACATACCTGTGAATAGCTATGTATGCATGGCGGTAAAACGCCATATTTCCACTGGAATTTGCGATATTTAGCCTTGAAATTTACTACATTTGCGATTTTGTCAGTTTTTATATTTACTATTATTCCATGCCATGCCCAATTCGACAATATTCTGAAAGGTTCAGTAGTTTAATGTACCACATAATTCAAATGCTACAACAGTTTGAAAGATTTACTTGCCTTTTAAATTCCGACTTTCCTGCTCGATGGGGTTCTGAAGCTAGTGGGAAAATAAAGCCTTTTAATAATGATTGAACTGTAATTTTTTGTGAACTTCATCAGAGAAATAATCGAACAAATACACACATACTGTGATACATTGGCTTGGAATATGCTCCAAAACGTGTGAAATCGAACATTTGTTGTGCAATCACCTTGCAAATATCACAGAAACGGGATAAAAATTTGAATATAGATTAACCAATCTGATTGGTTTTTATTGAACCAATCGTGGAGTACAAAAATTGACCAATGACAAATTGACCTGTGCACAGAAATAACCAATCAAGTTGTCTTAATTTTGCTGAATTATGCAAGAGCCTACAGGCTATAAAACAGAGCCGTCTGCAACCGTTTTCTTCAGGTGAGTGAGTTCTTTCTTTTAGGTCGGATCAAGGTATGTGTAATTATTTTTTTAATAGAAGTAGATCCCCGTGGCCACTCTGTTAGCTAAGAATCTCTGTCCCCGTATCTGGAAACACGGCTCACTGCTTGTCTAACTGTGTTTTGCTCTTCGTTTTCTAGGGAGCTACTAATACTTTTTTTGTGTTTTTCAGACAAAGACGATCGTAGTTTAGTTTCAGTATCCAACCCTAAGAAGCCACCCCAAACCCATGCCGTCAGTTAAACCCTAGCCACAATTGCCTTCAAGCTAATTGTGAATGCTTGCTTTTCTAGGAACAACTCACCATATTTTTTGTCGTTTCAGCTACAGAGTTAGTGGGTTGTGGGTTGTTGGATGTTGTGTCGTCGGTTGTGTGTTTTGTGTTGTACGTTCGTATTGTCTGCCAGTCGGTTTGCGAGTTGCCCTGTAGCTCTCGCTTTTTCCTGGCCACACAAAGAACACATTTTGGATACTCCTTTTTAGGAGATTGGGTTCGATTCCCATGAATGTGTCAATTTTGCGCTGATATCTAATGTGGTCCGTCTCTAATACAAAAGCACAACATCCAACGGATAATCTGCATCCTTTCACCACACCAACTACAAGTGTTGTCCTCATACAACAGAATGGAACTTCCAACAGAGTAAGGAGTAACCAATACCCAAGACGAAGTTCTCGTAACTTCTCAAACAGGACAGGATGCGGCACTTGAGGGATCCTCTCAGTTAGACGTCCGATCAGAGGATATTTCAAAGTGGTAAGCTGATTTAAACTTGTGATTACTGTGCGAATACTTCACCCATTTTAATAAATATGAGACCACTAAACTCATTGCTGTCTGCTCGTAAACGGCGCACACAGATAATTTCGATTTTATCTGGAAGTATTTTATCAAATCAACCAGAAATTGTGTTATCTCAAAGAAAAAACATTTACCTATTTGTATAAATTTAGTTCATTTCAAAAGCTTTCCTATAAGCCAAGATATTTATTGCCGAACTTGTACTTTTTAAAGTTGAATTTTAGAGAAGCGAAAATACGCAAAGCCTTCCAAAAATCTCGCCTAAAAACCTCCAAATATTTCTAGTATACATTGGGATCAATATTTTTATCTATTTTACTTGAAATACAGTCGCTTTGGCGATTTGTAGTGATATTTCCAACAAACGTGTTTACAAATGGAAACCGGAAAATGTGCATATAATTATCACCATATTGGCGAAAATTTGACAATTATGACTTCTAGGGACAATTTTACCCCGGAAATCGATTACCGGGCTTATTTTACCCCCACGGGGTAGGCAACGTTACGTTTTTGATACCTCTAACCTCACGTGACAACCACATGTGCGTGCGGCTGAGCAACGCCTCGCTATACACAATAACAAATAAAAAAAGCTATATTTTTCGAGTTTTTCTGCCCATCCTGACTTAAAAACTATCAGAAAAGATAACTAAAGCTTTTTCAGTTTATATGTAACGGTTAAAAGACGACAGGTTAAAAAATAACGAAGAAAATAACGAAATTCCAAAGGCGAGTTATATTTCCGTTTGTAATCCCGTGTAATTTGATATGATTTTTAGAGCTGCACTGCAGTGTCAGGTTAACAGCAATATTGATTAATTTCTGGATTAAAACAGAAGCGATTGGGTTAAAGTATTTTTCTTCAGCTATATTTTGGTGGTATTTTTGTGCTTTTAAATTAAACGGATTAATTTAAACAATAAAAAACCAAGATAATTTCATGATATCTGGTGATGGAAGGCATGACAAGAATTATGCCTACACAATATTTTGCTGTACAATTCGATATGTCATTCATTTTACACTGGTGTTATTAAAAATAGATTTATTTTTCTCCCTTTCCTATTATGTAATTGCCAATTACCAATATACAGGGGTTGGGGGTATTATGTGAATATGAAAGAAAACAGCCTGCATTTTGTTCTGTATATTCTTTTTGTTATAGAAGTCACAAAATACATGCTGTTACTATACAGTATAGGGCCTTGTGATTCATATACAATTATAGTTTCAATTGTGTGAAAGTGATGTTCTTGTAATCTCAATTGTAGATTCTATTGCATATAGAACATATCTTTGAGAATTGAAGTTTATGGCGGTTCCTCAGGTATGTTCTAGCAATTCACTGAAGTACTATTTGTTCGCTAAGGAATGTTGTCCCACGGTAGCGGTACGCACGAACCTGCATGGGATATCACAATGCTGATAGCCTCACAACTATGGACAATAATATACTAGAAATACATGCATGCAGCAACCCCTCGCTATTTTAAACCAAGTACACAATTTCCTGAGTTAACCTGACCTAAACTTATATTATGAAATGACACAAAACTCAAATCAGTCTTATTATATTTTACCGAGTATATTATAGCTAATGTTTCCATCATTCGATACAAAAATAATCATAAAGCTAGTCTAAACATTGCCCGTTCAATTTAGTGTAAACATTGCCCGCTGCATTATACCATGCCAGCAATTAAGTAACGGTTTAAAATCGAAGTTTCGAACGATTAAAACAGTACAAAATCTTCACAGACAAAGAAAAATTAAACTTCATATGTTATTTTATTCTGTATTTTGCAGTCGACAACGGCGGCAAAAAGTTTTATACTTTATAAATATAGTGTATATTTTTGATACCAAAATTCAAATTACACTTTCAAAAACACTTTTTGAAGTTAAAGCAAAGGTGTAATAGCCTTTCACAGGTTTATGCGTTTGCATAAAAAGCTGAAAATTTAACAAATAAACGGCATACAAAGCTGAAAAGTATACAAATACGGCTCATTCTTATCGCGAAACAAATACGAAATAAACAAAGTAAACACGTACATTATGTCTTTGAGAACATTTATAAGTTTGCTGATTATGAATTATTGTTCATCTTTGCTAACTGTCATGCTTCATATATCTTGTTTCTTCTCGTTTTACTTTCTTTGCACAAAGTTTATGAAACGCTTTTACAAAACTGTTTACGAAATGACAGTTAATATAAATTGCTGACGTTCTCATTGAAATACAAAATTTCTGTCTTAGCCAATCAGAACGTTCGTTGATTACCAGACGTTACTCGCGCATGCGCATAACTTACAAAACCACCCAACGTCGACCGTCCATGACAAAGAATTTGGACAACTTCGGATTCGCCTATGTTCTACCGGGTTTCGGGTGTAATTCCTAATCTCCGAGCGGAATTAGTACCCTCGCAGGCGCTCCGCGCCCGCTCGGGGATTAATTTACTTGTTCCTTGTTTCTCAATTTTAGATCAAATAAATTATGGCAACCCAGGAATCGCTAACAATTATTACCTTTCTCTTATCACTGACTACACCTCCATCCATCGCTGTGCCATACATGGATTTGATGGACTGACATACCAAGCAAGGTAAATATTGCAGGCTACATGGTATATGTTCAGTTTATTATTATGTCATATTAAGACTGTTGGACATTATATTTTTATTCAGTAATTCCCCTATATGGGAATGTGATAAAATTCGAAGTTAACGCCCAGTAAAGATTTCACAAAATCAATTGAAATAACGCTGTACCTCGACTGGTTTCAATTCTGGAGGCCCCATATATGGCACAATTATCTGCATTATCGTTTCATTTTTGTTGATGATTGTTTCGATGGTGTTTTGGTGCCGGAAGATAGAATAATTGATACTAATTATCGCCCCCCGTACTGAAGACACATAACATCCCAGATAATAGCAACAAGTGTTGGGAATGCGGATAAGTCGACAGGACATGGTCGCTTAAATGAGGCAGCTTCTTGATCTGCACGGAAAAATTACCAGGACCAATGCATTTAAATTGACTTCGGCAAGAAAGATGTTGTCGGAGCGATTTCACTCAAAGTCGCCGTAATTATAATTAGTGGGTGAAGACCTACTCTGTATCCTATAGTTCCGACGGGCAAAAATTCGCTCATTACAAAATAAATGGATTAGTCAGGGTTAGCTGGATTAATAAGCAAGGCTCCTACAGATTACCCTCTCACGTTATATGCATCACATCATTTCCATGCGGTCATATATAACTTTTAATGTGTGACTAAGATTAATTGTTTAACAAATTACTCATTTCATTAGAGACTCACTAGTGGAAAATGTCCTATCACCAACTGTAACCGCGCTTTACACCCGCATTCATCCAAAGACATGGTACGCAACATATCTTTGAGAATTGAAGTTTATAGCTGTTCTTCAGGTATGTTCTAGCAATTCACGGGGAATCCAGCATATCATTATGAGGAACAAAGCTATCATAGCGGTATATACTCAGGGCTATCACAATCAAGTTTAGTGTTATCGCTTGATTTTAATGTTTGCTGCACGGTCGGATTCCCACATTTAAAAGAAAATCAAGCGAAAAGTTTTACACGTACAAAAGTATATGGAACTGTTCTTTAATTTATCGGAAGAACTAGCGCGTTTTTAACCCACCACATGTGTCAATGAGGATGCATATTCGTTCGATGTGATCGCCTGATAGGAGAGATACGTTACTGAGTTTGATTGCTATCGAGGGATAGGGGGGGGCTTTATTAAGAAGAACTGTTAAAAAGCTAGAGCAGTATAAGGATTATCACTAACCTATTTTCAGTTGATCAGGTAACCATTCATACAGGACTTCAAACTAAAGGTGATTCCAAAAAACAACGTAGTTTCCACTCAGATCTTTTTCCATTGCAAATGCGCGCATCTCAGATTCGAGAGCCCCAGAAGTTCCTCTCACGTCTGTCACATTGAAAAAAAAAAAATTGTTTCAAACTCATTTACGAGAACAGTTTAGAGAAAGAGGTCAGGACTATTGAATTTGTCTTGTTATACTCATAGCGACAGGAAATCCTCCATTACCTTTTCATTTCCTATATTTTCAACGGAAACTAACCTTAGCTTTGAGACTCACCTTGTAATTCCAAATCAGGCTGTACGCTTTCAAATCTTGACTGAATCTGTAAAAAAGATCCGTTTAAATACCATTGCTTTTTCATCTTTCAAACGACTAGAACATTTTCCCATTTTCTTAATATGAACACTTACTTGTAATAAAACAACTGGATTTAAATTCTTACATCTTTCCTGGATTTGAATCCTATTTTTGTCCTGCAATGCGAGAGATATCCTTCAAGTTGATTCCTTGACGTTCCTCTCGCTTTTCCAGAGCTCTAACAGACAAGTATAGCACGTGAAATAACAGGCTTATACGTACATACAAGCATGCATTATGAAATTTTGGAACACGATTGTTGCCTTAAAACGTACTCTGCAAGCTTTACAGTGTCACGAATTGATAAATGATCTTCTTTAGTCTCTGGTGGCTGAAGGAAAGATAAAAACTTTCCAACAAAATTGTTTCTTTACAAAAAGGTTTTACACTTCTGAATGAATTACCTTTTAATTATTTCGTCAGTGGGACAGTTTAAGGATGAATGATGGAGTTTAGTTACCAAAGCAGTTGATACCACTTAGTCACTATTACATAATTGTTTATGAACCAAAACTTACGAACAGGAAATCTCGCATTTAAACTTTATTGTATATTTTAGACATTAAAAACCATAACTACTTTAATACGAACATTATTCTCACAAGTAATGCCATTGCTGTTGGATGACCAGTTGTCCAGAGAGCCACAAGATGTCCACTCAATTGCCTATATGCCAACAATAAAGATTATAAATTACTTATGGAGTATGCTTGTTAGTCTCAATTGAACTATTTACAGATGGCTAGTATATAGAGGATTATAAAATCACAAGTTTTAAGATGAATCTAAGAATGTTGCTAAACTACAACTCAGGTGCTCCGGATGGAATCGAAGCTATACATCTGCAACAATTTGTTAATATATCACACTAATTCGGGTTTTAAACGGTCTTAATTTCGCGTGGTATTATTATACACACTTCAAATTCAAGCCAGGAACAGTTGATGGAAAAATGAGTCAACTATACGTTCTCAGTGACAAGAGCATTGCGCCGGCATCGCAAAAGCGATTCCTACCGGAGGATCTATAGTTGACTCATTTTTCCATCAACTGTTCCTGGCTTGAATTTGAAGTGTGTATAATACCTCTCGAAATTAAGACCCTTTAAAACCTCTTAAATATCAACTGAAATAATATGTACATTCATCACTGCTAAAAAAATGCAGAACGTTATAAATGACGTTTGTCAAAAGCAGAAAATTCTCAATGGAGGAATGAATGAATAAAACGTACCTCGATTATCGCCTTCAGAACCATGCCAGCACCTTTCACAATTGTTGTCGACGGATGCTGAAATTGTTGAGGAACGAATTCAAAACCACGATTGGTAAGAACCATTAGCGGGGCAATAGTAAAACATACATAAGCGAAGAAATGGTACAATTGGTACTATTTATTGCAGTTTTTATCGTAAACTTACCTGAAACAATCGATAAATGCAATGACCCATTTCAAGACAAACAAATAACAGACTTCATGAGTTGCTCCCATGCATGGGTCAAGCTAGTGGACGTGGTAAACTTCACCAAAAATGTAAAGAGAGAAAGGCAATTTAATCAACTTTCAACGTCAGTCAAAGAGCCATAAACTACCAAGAAGGCAAGTTGAATGAAAACTCCTCAAATTTCTTTGTAGCATACCTGCAACTTTCTCCAGTAATTTCCCAAACTGTTCATCGTCTGTTGTCTCACTAAGAGGAGTATGCAATAGTCGATTTATTATAACAGACCACATCAGTTGATTCAAAATATTAGAAGCAATCACACCTTACTATTAGTTTAACATGAATGTCCAACTGCACCCCCCATTATTTTGATATATTGCAAAGCAACCAGAACTTTACCTGTAAAGAGGACACAGAGCAAACGCCAGAAAATCAAGCAATCAACTTATACCTAAAACCCCAGTAGAACGATTCTAGAAGAAAAGTTTTCATGGTTAATCTATTTCTTGTGTTAATTAGAAAGGTAGTCCAAATTAGAAAGGCAGTTGCTACAAATCACTTGCTGAGTTTTGCAAGGGAATTTCTCTTCCAAAACAAGGCTGTATACATACAAGAGGGATGGAAAAATAAAATGCATGGGTTCAGCATAGATTATAGGCCAACACCGCACATCTTACCACATTTATCGTGAGAATTCCCAACAAACTGCTTAGAAATTTTTCACAGGATAACAGAGAGCTTTTGTTTATCTGTTCTTCTCGAATGTCATAGTTATCGTGCGTTGGCTATATAAAACAACAGAATTGGTTTCGATAAAACTGGATCCTGTTAACATGCAAATTTCAAAGTTGGCTGAGTTTACGTATTTCGTTTCTTGCATCTATTTAGCTCGGAAATTTCGCCGCTGTATTCTTAACGAAATACTCTATTTTAAATTTAAATATGTCCGGTCTGACCATTTTGGCCGCTTAAAGGAAAGCCCTGTCTTTACCTGCATCAGAGAACACAACATGTCGACAGCGGCGTGAGTCACGGCTTCATTATTCCTCTTCAAAGCTTTCACAGTTTTCACACCAACCTTCTCACGCAAGTGAACTGGTTGAGTAAACAGCGTGTGTTGTGGTTAAAGATAAACGTTTCTCACCTAGTGAGCGTTGTGAAAGCGCGAAACCTGCTTTGGATCGAACCCAACTTCTCAAATCGTGAAACAGTGCTTCGAGATCTTTATCTCATATTTTGTTTTGGTCTCCTGCAAATAGACGAAACTTTTTAACTATTTTATGTATATATAGAACACCTGCGAAGGTAATAGCACTCAGAATATGTATATTTTAGGGTTGAACACTAAATAAATTTATTGGCAAAGATATACAATACCTTCGTGAGCAATGAGCATTGTGATGGCATTAATGATAAGTCTTTCTTTATTCTCCGACAAAAGTCCCTACAAAATATTTAAAATCGTTTGAAATATATATTGGAGTTTAAAAGACTTAATATTCCGGCCGTACTTCTGCCGGGAAAATTTCAAAACTACCATTTCATGGATTCGGACCCAGTCAACTCAGCAACCAGAGTTACTGCAGCCTAGTCCCTAGGCTTCATAACGTTCCTTATACGCGGCGAGGCGGGAACTGAGAGGCTAAAGTGGGGACTTTTTGTCCCCACTTTCTGTATTGAGGTCAGTTTACGATCTACGACGCGGTTAACTGGCCTTGTTCGACGTCGTTAGTCAAACATTTGCTTGAAATAAGCTACGGGATATTGATTATACTGCCAGGAGTCGAAATATTCATACAAACGTTTCAATGTCGCTCGCCGTCAACGCTATCGACTATCAAGTAAACTCGAGTCCGTACGTACATGTTTATGATTATAATAAACTTCAATCCACCAATTTAAATTATTCTCGCTTCCTTTATAACGGTTACTGTTGTAAATTGCAAACATTTACTTTAATAACAATTCTAATTTCAAGTTCACAACATTAAACGGGCCGTTAAGATTAGAAAATATTTTGTGTTAGGCCTCTCGCGCGCGTTTCATTCGGTGACGTGACGAAAATATAAAACACGCGCAATGAGAGGCCTGGGACTAGGCTGGAGTTACGGCGGTTTTTAGGGAGTACTATTAGTGTTTTGTGTACATTTGTGCACAGAACAGTAGCAGGATAGGGTATTTTTATTAAAGTCATACTTTTTGCCTTTGGCTATACTGGATAAACCAGTTTAAATGTACCGTGTTGTTTGCAGACGTTTTAAACCTTGCTAAATGTTTTCAATTAGCAGCCGAAATGGGCAAATGTTTTCATTTAACGTAACTATGCAGCCTAGCAATCGTTTAGTTCACACTAAAGGCTGCTTTCTACTTACGCGTTTTTTATACGCGTGTACACATACGGAGAATTTTAAATGCTTTTAAATTTTTATTAATTAACATGCATCTAGGTCGATTTATTCACTTAGTTTTTTCAAAGGTAACATGTATAAGGATTTAGATTTTTACGTGCGTGTACGTGCGTATGAAAAACACGTGAGTGGAAAACAGCCTTAATCCAAATTTTGACAGAACATTAAAACTCACAGCTTCGGTTAAATTTCCTGCAAGGAACCAGTCATAAGACAATATAAGCTTTTGGAGATATTTCAAAAATGTAAAGTGAAATAAAAAGAGAAATATTTCACCTGGAGACGCAGCGAGGAATTTAAATGACTGCTTTCTACTTCTTCGTCAACAACATTATACAATGGACCCCCAACGATAACCTTGAAAAATATATCATCTTAAAAAAACAATTCTTCTTTTGCTGTATGTGATGTATTGAACTGGCTAATAGGAATAACGCTGGACGAGAGTGTAATTGTTGGTGTGTTATATGAGATCACATACGTCAGCAGGAGTATGAAATGAGGGATCGTATTTAGGGTAATCATAGCAGTACGAAATTTTCATCAGGAAAATTTTGACCATAATTTTCGCTCAATCATCTATGAATAAGCGTACAGTACTTCTCTTCGTTGGGGTCGTTTTTACGCAAACATCTCTGTTTCAACTGGCTCTAACACCGTCTAGCAAACCAGCCAATAATGTTTCCCTAGATTGAGTGAAATACAAACATTCAAAACAAGAAATATTTTTTATTGCTTCATACAAAATTTGCTTTCTTACACTACCTGTCAGGAGACGAGTAATTTCTCAGCCGACCGCTTGTGTATTCCAGCCCGAACAGCTGAGGATGGTTTCGATAGCGAATTATTGAAAATATCTGACAGAAAAAGAAGTTTTGAAAACTATGATATACTATACGCTATATACAGGTATATTCTGGAAAGTAACTGCAAAAATAAAACTATTTTAACTCGGCTGGATACTTTTTTGCAATTGAACATGTTCAAAATGGAAACGTGAAATAAGAAAGACGATAAAAGCAGTAAACTTGAATCCAGATCAGAAGACATGGAGTGTTTGGAGTGTTTGGAGTGTTTTCTTTCAAGGTCAGATATGAACAATTACTGGAACTGACATGGAATGTCGCATGACTTAATGAGCAAAGGGGATGAAGGGTGACGATATTGTACGTTTTTAAGAAACACAGCGTTCTTTGAACAGGATCCTAAATTTGAGAGTGTCAAAACGATTTTAAAATGAGAAAAAGGATAGACTCTTAGAAGAATTTTTTAACAACATAACTCACTTTACTCCGAGGAGTTTCTTTATAGACGCTGAATTCTGACATTGATGTGATATGGTCGTCATCACTGAAACGAAAAATTTGTCATTTACTGTCATATCTCACATTCTTTACACAGGACAAACGAAATACTGTCTTAATAATATATCATTCAACTGTATTTTCCAAATTTGTTTTAAAAAACGACTCCACTTTGATGGAACTTTTCTTTTGCCTAAAACCGAGGCAAAAGAAATAACAAATACAGCTCAAAGTAAATTACAGACCTGGAAAGAATTTTGTCAAAAACGGTTAAAACGTAAACAAATAAAGTAACCTGAATATAAGTCATTTTGTCATTTACTTAAAATTTGTTTACTTAAAATGTTGACATACTTTATCGTAACACCAACATTATTTAAAGAAGATTCCATCAACTTTTTCAGCAATTCCTCTCTCCTCTCTGATGTGAAAAGATGCTGGAAAACAAAAGCAAAATTGTGCACAAAATGTAAAACTTCAATTTACAGAAATAACCGGTATCTTATCCTTTTGTTATTATAAGGTTGGTACTAGCAACATCTGGTACATACCATTGTGCTAAAACCACCACAGACAACAACAAATCCCCTAGGATAATCTGAGACCTAAGTATAGAAATGGAATGAAAGCCTGAGTTGAATTATTCAAATCACAAATATTCAAATGTCTTGCAATATCAAGTATATAATATATATTATATATATATATAATATATATATATATATATATATATATATATATATATACTGTCGTTGTCAAAAAGGTTGTCCTGAGCAAGTATATGTATATATCGATCACGTGACATTATTATGCATCAACACGCGTGGGATTGTACAAGCGTGTTAATTGCGAGTTCGAGTATAGCAAGGTGAACGATTAGAAAATGCCAAGACCATATTCGGATAAATTAAGGTGGACAATGGTTTATCAACGACTGTTCTACGAAAGAATCATCGACGAAATTGCAGCACAGCTATTTGTTTGTTCAAAAACCGTCTATCGTACTCTCAGCACCTTTTGGAACACGGGTGATGTGAAGCCTTGCCATATGGGTCGCCCAACAGCGAGCGCATCTTTATTCCCACGCGAAGAATATATTATCATGGACTGCTTACGCCGCAAATACAGTTGAATGAGATAGCAAGCTATATGTAAACCTCTTCAATAGGATTCAAATCAGGACTGTCGTACACTCGTTCTATAGAACTTCTTGTACATGATGTGTTGGGTGGTTATCTGTTGAAAAATATGCATATTACTAGTTTTAGCAGTTGCATCTTTGTGCATCAACAAGTTTTGTTTAAACAGATATTAATAGATCAAAACATGATCACAAATTCAGTCATCCCTTGAGACATATGTTAGAACAGCGAATTTGCATTAATTATATTCAAATCTCACCCATAACGAGAACGGATCGCGGGTTTTCCCCATCAAATCGATTCATAGCTGGCAAAAGCTGTTCATCAAGAAAATGGATAAAGGAGCGTGTTTCAAATCTTTCTTCGGGATTCTGTAACAAACAGTTCGCAAGAAGTCCATCACACGATATTGCCGAAATAATGGAATAGCGCGGTGTCCACCGTGCATAGCTATAGTCGCTCACAACAGGCGGTATCCCACGAGCACTATATCCATATTGCCGAGCAATTCGTTTATCCTTAAAACGTAGAACCAAATAAATAAAAGATCTACTAGTTTGTGTAATCCAGTAACAGTAAGGTATTATTTAGTACATACAATGCCTGTTTCATCGAGGAAAACGAGCAGGTTTGGGTCAAAAAGGCGGATTTCGGCCATGAATTGTTGCCTAATATCGTTTCTTCGCTGAAGGGCAATTCCCTGAATCTGAAAAAGAAAATCTGGCTTGAAGAGTTGATAAAGAACAACTAGAATCTTGTAATAAATTGGAAAAAGGTGGAATGGCTTGCGTCTTATTAATATAGTTATATGATTTCCAGCGTGCGGTATTAATTATATATTCCAACTTACATAATGTCATAATGTTCGTACCTTTTTGCGTGTTATTCCAAGCCTATAGAGAGCTCGGCACAGTGTCTCCGGGCTAAATGCAGAGCCAGTAGCATTAATTATATAGCTTGCAATCTCATTCAACTGTATTTGCGGCGTTCGCTGTAAACAGATTCTATATATATTCGCAGTAAACAGATTCTAGATAATATATTCTTCGTGTGGGAATAAAGATACGCTCGCTGTTGGGCGACCCATAAGGCAAGGCTTCACATCACCCGTGTTCCAAAAGGTGCTGAGAGTACGATAGACGGTTTTTGAACAAACAAATAGCTGTGCTGCAATTTCGTCGATGATTCTTTCGTAGAACAGTCGTTGATCAACCATTCTCCACCTTAATTCATCCGAATATGGTCTTGGCATTTTCTAATCGTTCACCTTGCTATACACGAACTCGCAATTAACACGCTTGTACAATCCCACGCGTGTTGATGCATAATAATGTTACGTGATCGATATATACATATACTTGCTCAGGACAACCTTTTTGACAACGACAGTATATATATATATATATATATATATATATATATATATATATATATAATATATATATATATATAATATATATATATATATGAACACACAGGTAAGTTATCAAGAAACTTGAAAACAATAATAGTACCTCTAACGTCACTGGAACCTTTCGTTCACTCCAATGTAATTTATAACCACTAATCTTCTGCACAAAAATATGGCATATGTTGATGTGGAAATAGTTTGGAAACATTAGCTTTAGCTAGCTTATCACTTTATAAAGAACCCACTTATTAAATTAGAAATGGAATATGGGTCTAATTTTTGAAAGAGAGAGGGGGGGGGCATTGATACCATGATGAATTACGATTTGGAATTCATCGTGAATAGTTTCATTTTATACAACTGGAACGATAAGTCCTGACAAAAATCCCTATTAAGCTTGAAGCAAAAATAGTTCCCCGTACTAATCCTAATGCAGCCTCTTTGATGTCTTTCTACGCTGTTTCATCCTGAGGCTGCAGCAACAAAGACAATTTACAGTGATTAGATGTAATTATATGTCTCTAGATGTTCCTACAAATACCTTGCAGTCTCTATATAATTACCTTACATGTTCTTTACACGACGGCTTGACGTATCGCTTGAGAGGATCTACTGGACAGTGGCAATCTGGAATTGATAAATGAAATATATATCCTTTTACTTCACTGATGCGTTTGCATTCACGACTCCCGTGTAAAACGATCCAATTTGCGGATATATAGTTGGGTTCAGGTCAGGAAGCTTTCACTGATAAGAGAGAGTTTTCTATTGAAGTACAGTATCAGCTCATCACGAATGAAGAGGCAAATTGGAGTGGAGAAATGAAACCGTCTGAAAAGGATTGTATGAGTACCTTCTCGATTATATGCAAAACATCGCAAACTTTCGGTGAATCAGAGGATGCAATAACGTCGACCAGAAGCTGGACAGCTCGGATCTGCACAAAAATATCCCGATCTTTCGCAATGTGGTCTAAATGTGGCAACACTGAATTCTCAAGTATTTCTGCCTGTAAAAAACAAGGAGTTACAAAACTAGAAAAAGATTCATAATATCGCTAATGTACGGTGGCCCAGAGGTGCAAAACACAAACGCAAATTCAAAACACAAACGCAAATTCAAAAACACAAACGCAAATTCAAAAACATAAACGCAAATTCAAAAACATAAACGCAAATCATGAAAGCACGAACGCAAATTCAAAACAGAAACGCAAATTCAAAACACGAACGCAAATTCAAAACACGAACGCAAATTCAAAACACAAACGCAAATTCAAAACACAAACGCAAATTCAAAAACATAAACGCAAATTCAAAAACATAAACGCAAATCATGAAAGCACGAACGCAAATTCAAAACAGAAACGCAAATTCAAAACACGAACGCAAATTCAAAACACGAACGCAAATTCAAAACACAAACGCAAATTCAAAACACAAACGCAAATTCAAAAGACACGCAAATATTTAATTATTTATCCAAATCCAAAACGAGCTAGCGCACCACAAATTTAAAGTCAACAAGGATAAGTCTATTAATATGATTGTTGCAAAGTATAATACATTTATAAATGCATTTTTGTCTTTTGGCTTAGTAAAATATAAAATTATTGATATGGAGGAAGCGATCCGTTTTTACTACGGAAGAAATTTTAAGTACAAAACGATACTGGAATGTTTAGAAAAATATCATGATATCAAAATATGTAAAAGAGCGCTCATCACCAGATTACAGGAGTATGGTTTGGGAAGAAGAAGATACAACGCGAATGAAGAACAAGTTAGGGAATGCGTTCAAAGAGAACTACATGAAAATGGCAACCTCTTAGGATACAGATCAATGTGGAGGAAACTGCAATCAAAATATGGCATGCGTGTGCGCCGTTCAACAGCTCAAAGTATCTTAAAGGTGCTTGATCCTGAAGGTTGTGCAGTAAGAAAAGCTCATAAGCTGCAGCGGAGGGAGTATTTAAATCCTGGTCCAAACTTTACCTGGCATGCCGATGGGTACGATAAACTCAAACAGTTTGGGTTTCCCATTCACGGCTGCATTGATGGGTTTAGCAGGCGAATTATGTGGTTAGAGATCGTTCGAACAAATAACGACCCTCGGGTCATTGGAGGATTATTTCTTGATTGTGTTAAATCCCAAAACGGTTGCCCAACAATTCTACGAACGGACAAAAGGACTGAAAATGGTATAATGGCCACTGCTCAGTGCTACTTACGTCGAAACCACAGAGATCACTATAATAGGATAAAAGCACATCGCTATGGATCGTCACACAGCAACCAGCGTATAGAGGCGTGGTGGGCCATGCTACGTCGGTCGTGGGCATCGTGGTGGATTAATTTTTTTAAAGATTTGGTAGACAGAGGTATTGTTGACACAAGCAATATACTTCAGCTGGAATGTCTTTGGTTTTGTTTCATTAAAGTGATGAGGGATTCTTTAAAGGCTATTAAGGAGTCCTGGAATGCCCATTATGTGAGAAAATCCAGATACCACACTACTCATGGCATTTCTGATCAACTTTTTCTCTTGCCCGAGTCAGTTGGCGCGGTTGATCATAAGGTGGAGTGCCTGCAACATGATATCCAAGCGATCGAAGGCAGCGTTGCCGTGGAAGATGACGAAATACACAAAGTAATATTTTAATTATTTTTCAATATTACAACTGCAGGAGCCAACAACATGGAACAATTCTCTCAATAATTATGAACTGCTGATTGCAGCAGCCCAAGTGTGAACCAAGAAAAAACAACGAAAAAATCTAACAAACTAAGTGAATTCATATTCCAACGTAGTATAAAACAAGTAGGGACCTTAAGCAACGAGAACACGAAAGAAAAACCACTTCAAAAACTTAGGCATATAAAACATAGGCATATAAAAACGCGTAACTGGAAAGCAGCTCTTAAGCTGACCTTTATCCTTACTGGTAAATGGGAGTACGAAAGTACAGTTAACGTCCAGGACGTCAACGTTATCGTTCCTTAAGTTGCCTAATATAAGCCATAGAATTATATAGGAAACACTTTTTTACAATTGGAGGAAATTGCTTGCAATTCCATGTCATAAGCCAAAATTTATCAGCCGAATGTATAGAAGCCACGAATTTAACCGCCAAAAGTTTACGAGGTTTCAAATTAAATTTAACGTTGCTTCAATTGCCACCTGTTTAAGTGTTCTTTGTTAAAACTGATAATATGAACTTTACAACAATATATATAAACTTTACATATATAGTGTGTACTAAAAGTTTTAGTAACTAATATGCATGTTATAAGCAATATGAACAAATAATTCTTATGAGACTTCTAAAGATACAGAAACTCAAGTAATTAGTTCAAAAAACATAAAAGAAACATGTAATATTAAACAACTTCTGCCTTATACAAAACGTAGCATGACAAACACCTTAATCACCCATTCACGTCAGTTGGACTAATGCCATATCAATTTCTGAGTGAGACATAAGACTGCACCATTCCTCTCTAAAATCGCCGAAATCGTTGTAAGTTGATGGGAGCTCTTTCACTGCTCCACAAGTATGAAACACTGGCGAACGACCTTTACCAACCAAAGAGGTAAATGCCATAGAAATCTCCTCAACTAAAATAATATCGGATCCGGTGGATATTCTCAAGAAGTGTTTAAGATCATTCGTATTAAGACCTTTGATCCAACGCTTTAAATGACTTAATGATTCATTCTCAGCAGCGGATTTTGGTTCAGCTTTAATGAGCTTACATACTTTTCTCGCAGTAGGAAAAAAAGAGGTGTATATCTGAAACAAGGCGTCGTTAGGAAAAAAAAGAGGTGTATATCTGAAACAAGGCGTCGTTAGAAGTGATAAAAGATTTCAAAGGTACTAAGATTACTGACCAACAGTCATAGCATATCTTGGTTTCTGCACCAATTCTTTATGTGCAATTTCAATAATCAGATCCTTGAAGTTTTCAGGCATAGCAATCTTCTTGCACTCAAAAGTCGTTAAAAGATCTAAAACCTCTTTAGTATCAACACTTACAGAGGAAGAAAGAACTTTTTCTACTAAGATGGCTTCGGTTCTAGAGATATACTTCATAAAAGAGTTAAAGTACATCTCAGAAGTGACAGATTCCTCCCCGAAAAGACAGCAGCTTAAAAAGACTGGGGATATTTGAATAGGCAAATAGTGTTCTTGCACATAACCTTTGAGTAGGACTCTGGCGAGAGCCTGCCACATGCACTTAGACACATCATGACGAATTATTGGTACCCTTTCAGCTTCACCGAGCATATAGCTATTGTAGATATCTTTCCAAAATATAGAAATCGCATCTCGTACAGCCCCGCTACCTACACCTTTCTCTACAATACCTCTGGGATCGATTATTTGTACACTTATGAACTTGTTTAAAATGTTACTATTAGCAAAATAGTGAAGGAAATTATTGTTTACTTGAGTTCTATGGATAACCAAGACCTCATTTTCCATTTCTTCCAACGATGTCAGGGATATGACCTCAGTGTTGTTGACGTTTTCTGTTTCAACTAATATATCTAGAAAAATTAAAAATGACTATTCTATATGTGATATGCAATACAATACTCGATAGGAATTAGAGGGCCTTCCATGCATGATATTTCTAACCTTCAAATATATCTTCTGGAAATAAAAAATTTTCAGTGATATTTGTTTCAGTTGCCTGGTGGATAAAGGTAGTTGCTTGGTTGCCAGAGGTACTTTCTTGGTCATCAGAGGTACTTGCTTTGGTGGTGGAGATGCTCGCTTGGGTTCCACAGTCACTTGATTGGGTGCCAGAGGTACTTTCTTGGGCATCAGAGATACTTGCTTTGGTGGCGAAGATACTCGCTTGGGTTTCAGAGATACTTGTTTGGTAATCATAGCAAAAAATTGCCTGCTTGTTAGGAGTTAACATAGTTTGGTTGCTATTCCAGTCCTGAGAGTTAATTGTTGGGGGGCTGTGTGGTCCTAAATATACAGGAGTAAGAAATTTGAAATAAAAATTTTTAATCAGTTGGTTCTTTTTTATTGGTTGTCAGTTAATAACAGTACTGTTTTTACCACACTAAATTAATAATTACACAGAGATTCATCTTCAGTATCTCAATATCATTGGCAACTACAAACATAAAAATATAGCATTATAGCAACATTTATGTCATTATTGTCATTAGGTGTTTCTTAAATGCCCCAATGCAAGGTAGTGTGGGGCCATCCTAAGTCCTATGTCACACAACATCATGAAGTCCTAGTTTTTGGGGTACTTTTTATATCCAACAACATGGGACTGATTTTCAGGGCCAAAAATATAACTTGACCTGATTTCATCATTTCTATATGGATTTTGTCATAAAAGATCATAATTGAGGGTGACAAGAATTAAAAGTTGAAAAAATTTAAAACTGATGTTAACATACATGATTGGAGAACAGGGGCCGGTTGTACGAAAGGTGGATAAGTCGCTATCCAACGGATAAGTCGCTATCCAACGGATAACTTTTATCCAGCGTGAAATTTGGTTGCACGAAGCTTGGATAAATTTATCCAGCGGATAAAAACCCCTATCCGTTGGATAAAGTTATCCAAGGTCCGGAGGTAGTTTAAATCCACTATCCAGTGGATAAACTCGAAGATACAAGATAAAACTGTAAACATTTACGATGAAAAAGGACAAAAAAGCAAGTTTCCTATTACTGTGTTTCAACAAACTAATGTACATGATTGTACTCACTATTAAAACTGTTTTCGAAGTGAAATCCAGCCATTGTTATATTTGTCGCAGCAGCATTTCATTTTGTTTACACATTCCGTTCCGAGCGGCGTTTTTCTGGACATCCTCACAATGATAACAGGCGGTAAATTTATTATATACTTCTAACCAGTTTATAAAAGCGAATATGCAAAGAAAATTAAACCTATTCCATGGAAACTTGCTAATATCTAAGCAATTTCAATCACGTAATAGACAAGTAAAGACAACAAGGCTACGAATTTTGTTCTTCGCTATGATTAGCCAATCAAAACTTTAAAATAGTGTTCCTAAACTTATTATGGAACCGAAGGGCAAAGCCTCGCAAGGTCAAGGAATAAAATTGCAATGTGTTGAATAAAATCGCTAGTATGTGAAGTGCAAATCACTTAATCAGTAACTAATCGACAATTCAGAATGATTCAATGTTATAAATGCTTAGCAACAGACGTGTGGTACGAAATTTCAGGATAATCCTGTTTTCTTCGGGTAATTTTTAACTTATCCATTGGATAGCTATCCACTCCACTATCCACGCTTCGTGCAACACGATTTTATCCAATGGATAACTATCCACTGGATAGCATATTTATCCGTTGGATAGGACTTATCCGTTGGATAAGTTATCCACCTTTCGTACAACCGGCCCCTGTACTGTATATGCTTTAATTACATGCAAATCAGTTTGTTATAGGTAAATAATCCTTACTTTCAAAGTCAGAGACCTTGCACAAGTACAAGTTGACTCGATTATAAGGCCTTCCAATTGCTTCCTTATATCTCTCAACTGTAAATGGCTGTGAAGTTCCTGGAATAGTGTTAACCAGACCAAAGTCTGGGTACATCAGAACACAATCAAAGTCACCAGAATCCCTCAGGTGTTTATTATGAGCCAACTGCTTGTCCATCCCTAAACTCTTCACTTTACAACTGGAATCATTTTTTTTTTCACATCGAGAGGTAGAAGAGAACCTCTTTTGACTTTTAGCTGCCTTGCTACTCCACATTCTACCAACCCAATATTTATCTATATATAATTACAATTTCATAATAATCATAGATTGCATCATGTAAACTGATATGACAACTGTATAAATGCTAAACCAAATGCTATCTACCAAAATAATATTAAGTTTTCTATTACTGCTAAGTTGTACTGCCAAATTTATCAATGTCTTATAACTTTAGAAAATATATGATGATAAGGGGGAACCCGTCATGTGTCAATCTCTAGTATAAGTGTGAAATGATAAACAAACCTTTACAATTTCTTCCTCTTTTTTTTTTTTTTAATGATTTCGTTTTTTCATCTGATTTTCTTTTTTTCATTTCGTTAAAGGTTTGTTGACTTTGTTCTTGGTCTTTAGTTTCTCTGCTTGATCCTCTCTTCAGAAATTCTTCAAAATTTAAAGTTTTTAAGCCACCACTTGCATTATTTGACATTTTCTTGGGCTTTGTAAGATTTCCGTCTTTTAATGCTGAGCCACAGGAATTGCAAAAATTTGCATTGCTGTTAACACATAGGTTTCCGCACGATGGACAAAACATCTATATATATATGCAGTTAATAAATTAAATTTTTATAACTTTATTGACGCCTCATCATATTAATACAATGTAATATTAATACAGTTTTGGTCAAATCAATTGGGAAGTACACAAAGCAGATAAAAAATTTTATATTTAAAAGAGATCATTCCCAAATTAAAACAAAAAAAACTTGCTTATATGCGCAAAACCTAATTCTAGTACAGTACATGATGGGGAATGTGTACCACCTATCATCCAATGTGAATTTATTATACAACTAATATACATATACATTTGCATAAAAATGGATGTTGTGATTTGTGCCAATTCTAAGTTCTGAACACTACGGTACGCTGCGCAAATATATTTCCGAAAAGTATAAAAAAGGAAGAAAATGCCCATAAAAATAACTTTTAATGGTTTTTTAAAATCAAAGCTTACCTTATTTGCAAATTTGATACAAGCCAGATTGGAAGAACCACGTGTTTGTCATGGCGCTAATGCTTCCACTCAGCGAAAATAGCCCTCCTTTTACTGACAGGGTATGTCTGTACCAGTCTGTACTTCCTTTTTCTCCGCATTCAAGTTGTTAGTTTTGCGTTAGTGTTTTGAATTTGCGTTCGTGTTTTGAATTTGCGTTCGTGTTTTGAATTTGCGTTTCTGTTTTGAATTTGCGTTCGTGCTTTCATGATTTGCGTTTATGTTTTTGAATTTCGTTTGTGTTTTTGAATTTGCGTTTGTGTTTTGAATTTGCGTTTGTGTTTTGCACCTCTGGGCCACCGTACTAATGTCTAGAAAAATGGACTAAAATTTATTCAAAGTACCAACATTTTATACCTCATATAGTGGAAATAACGTTCCTAATATGTTACAAAGCACATTTAGTACTTTAATTCGGATGGCCGTCTTCTCTTCACATCTAAAAAAAATTCCCATTAGGATAAGACTGAGGCTACATAGAAATACATCACGAACTTAAACAAAAATCAAAATACCAAAATATTATATTATTACAAAATTTTTTCCTCAAAGAAAGTCATAAAATTGTTAGCTAGATTCTGATCAGATTGGCACACAGGATATTGAGAATCAGGGGTATGATGTAGAAACTTTCCAACGGTTTTAAATAATTGCCTTTGGTCACCCCCATTATCTCTAACAATTTCAGAATAGTAACGAGTACGACTTTCCGATAATAGCTCACTGACACGGCGACATGGCTGACTGTATTTTAGACGATCACAGGATTGTCTTGACTTACGCCATACCCGCTGGAGTTTCCTTCTGATACGTTTTTCGTTTTTAATTTTTTCAGTGTACCAAGGTGCAGCTGGACGACTAATTATCTCTCTGGCGATAAGTGGTGCATGATGATCCAGAATTCTGGACAGCTCCGAGTTGTATTGGTTGACCTTCGCACTAATATTAGCCGTGTTCCCAGTGATAATCGGAGATAGCCTAATGTCATTAAAGAATGAGTCCATATTGATTGCTTTAATTTTACGTGACTCCACGACCCTTCTCTGAAACAATGTTTTTTTAAAATTGAGTTCACATTTAACCGTGTAATGGTCAGATATAGATGGATCATGAACGTCAATAGATTGAACAATATTTTCCTCTTGGCAAGACAAGATAAGGTCTAAAGTGTGACCAGCAATGTGTGTTGGTTGTTCTACATGTTGTTCCAGATTAAAAGAATCAACAAGATTGAGAATTTTTGTTGTTGTTAATTCCGACTTATCGTCTACATGGAGGTCGATATAATACGATTATATTTAGTATTTGAGATAACACATTGATTTGCATATCCATCAGTTCGAAAGATTTAATGTGTGTGAACATGTTCGCCGAGTCCAGAGCTTGAATTTTAAAGTGTTATTGTATAGTATACCAATGCCTCCCCATCTACCTTGTTGTCTCGAGATATGTTTAAAGAGTAGCCCTTCGGGGTGAAATTCCCAATAGATATAAGATCAAATTTGTCAGGGTGAAGCCAGGTTTTTGTAATCGCAAATATATCAAATTCATTCTCAACCACATAGTCTTTGACTAAATTGGCTTTGTTTCGAATAGGCCGGCAGTTGAGAAGACCAAAAGCACAAAGCTGAGTAACAGCTGTATCAGGAGTGTTGGCAATGCTTGATAAAGGAATATTGATGAGATTGTTTCTCTTAATTAATATCATTTCTGCCATATATGTTAACAGGCTGATGATTTGCATGATGATAGTGATTGTATAGTGTCGCGGAGGTGTTTGCCAAGTAGGTATTATAGAATATATTCCTATAGGTCATATGGAACAACCAACCTTTCTGTAGATTCAACTGCCCAAGCATCGAACTAAGCTCCTCAGGATTATTAGCGGGTCGAAACGTGTTCATCAAACGTGACTGCTTTCGATGTTGAGACATCTTATCCGACTGATTATTATCAAAAGATTGAGGACCAGGATTAGACGAAACATCCACACACATTGTTAGATCCTGCTTAAAAGGCTTCGCACATAGGACTAGACTAACAAATCCATGTTTCGGTTCTTTAGCAATCGCAAATGAGACTTTGTATTTAGATTCAAAACCAACTCGTTGTATGTTGACCCGACATCGAAAAGCAATATCTCTACAAATACTCAAGGTTATGCCATCCGCAGCTAATCCGTCCAAATCCATGCAATTAGTATTCTTAAATGCCATATTAATTGGTCGAGATGTACGAAACTCGTTAGATAAAATAAATATCATAAAGAAATATATAGAGCTACCGACCAACCGCCATATTGATCGTGAATTAAGCAATATGGAAACACAATATTCATTTCCATACATGAAAAGGTGGTGATTCAATGATAACATCACGTTATCAGCTTTAGATATTTTCTTTAAAAACTTGTTTAACGAATCGGATAGAAGCAAACGGGAACGAGAAGAAGAAGTTGTGAAATCATTGTAAGTGTGTTTATTTCTATTTAAACCCGACAACTTTACTTGTTCAGGGAAAGGCATGTTAGAGTTTGTAATAAATCGTAAGAGTCGCTTTTAATTCATTGTAATTTTTACCATCACTCGATATGAATACAATTGTTCAACTGAACTGAAACCATAATTTACAAAAGGTTTTAGGCACAATCACGTGATATAAATCAATCATCCCCTAGCTATGTACAAACAAAACAGTCTATATAAGGTAATCGTGTTCGTAGCTTAGATATAATTATAAATGTCAACCCTAACGCCAATCTAATTATCTCTAATTAAATTTCCTACATTACCTTTAATAATTTTAATTACCGTTTCTTACCCTGCCCAAGGTTTCTTCATTCTTTGATGAGAAACTAAATTAATTCTAAATCAACTATTTAATCAACTAGAAATCATATAATCTTCGATTGTCATATATCAAGGAAATTAATCACTTAATAGTATATGTCGTTTCTCTGTTCGTAACCCTTATGACCTTGAGTTAACTTCAATAGGAATAAGTTGTTAAATCGTACGTCTCAACAGTGTTGGTCGTTTTTCACCTCGGGCAACCTTTACAATTGCAGCTCTAACCTTACCATCTCTTCCCTCAACTAGTTCCTCTACTTTACCGAGTTTCCAAAAAGCTCTGTTCGTGGAGTCGTTCTTTAGAATAACTACGTCGCCCTTCGATATATTTGCCACTGATCTTTCTCGTCGACACCTTTGTATTGAATGCTCCCTTAATTCTGTCAGATACTCGTTTTGCCATCGCTTGGTTAAACTTTGCAACAACAATTTTTGATGATGTCCTCGCTTCGTTAGTGTTTTGTAGGTACTCAAAATCTCTTCATGGCTCGAATTGGGATTTGTAGTGACTCTACGTCCGTAAATCAGATCGGAAGGGGTCAAAGCATACGAAATAGACTCGTGATCGTCATAAACATAAGTAATCGGTCTCGCGTTAATCACTCCTTCGATTTCGACCAAAATGGTACGCAACTGCTCGAAATTTAACGTTGATCTACCGAGTATTTTCTTGAGTGGTCCCTTCACGCTACGAACAAGACGCTCCCAATAACCACCCCACCAAGGGGCCTTCTCTATTATGAAACTCCACGTAATTCTTCGGTTTACTAGATAGTTCCAAACTTCTTCTGCTCGGGTTATACTTCGTATCTCTTTACATGCCGATTTAAATGTCTTCGCGTTGTCTGCATTCAGTGTAGCTGGTAGTCCTCTACGGCTCGTAAACCTTCGAAATGACAACAAAAACGCTTCGACACTTAATCCACGAGTGATGTCTAAATGCACGGCTCGAGTCGAAGCGCATGTCAATAACAAGACATACACCTTTAACGTGTCTTGGTCCTTCGACAACTCGTCTATAACGTACAAGGGGCCTGCGAAATCTAGTCCGACATGAGTGAAAGGCGGGTCTTCGGGCACTCTTTCACTGGGCAGGTCAGCATATGAAACTCCATTATACGGAGCTCCTTCGAACTTACAACAAACCTTACAACTCCGAATCAATTTCTTAACGGATTCACGACCACGTATTATCCAATATCTTTCGCGAACATTCGTAAGAGTATCCTTAATTCCATTGTGTTTGACCATCCAATGGGATTGTTGAATGATCAACCGAACAAGTTCTGACTCGAAGGTAATAGAAGATTTCTCGCAGTTTTAGCAATGATTTGGACTATGTTTTATATATATTCACTCCCTGAATGATTTCCATATTAAGCGATTGAATTTTGATACGGCATGTCACAACACAATCTCATAATTTATAATTGTACATGTACAATACAAACAAATGGTTGCATAAAGGTGAAAATATTTGAAAGTTTCTCATTTGGCTTAGGGTTGTACAAATACTTTCGTTAAATATGATTCAGCTACAACTTTGAACTAAAAAAAAACAGGGCTACACAATAGCCCTGAAAATCGTAATGAGCGTGATAACTCTGGATAACTCTAACATTGACCTTATCATGATGCTAATAAGCTTAACATTTGCCTTATCATTTGATAATTTTGAGCAAAGCTCTCTTTATTATTGTATAAATGTGTACCAAATGGCACTGAATAGTCACAATGCATATCGATGACTTATCTTTATGATGATTCCTCTGATGTAAAGCCATAATATTTAAAAAATATAGCATCTTAACAATGACCTTATCATTATGCTAATTAGCTTAACATTCACCTTATCATTTGATAATTTTGAACAAAATTCCCATTATTTTTGTGTAAATGTGTACTAAATGTCACCATATATTCACAAGACATATCAATGACTTATATTTATGATGATTCCTCTGATGTAAAGCCATAATATTTAAAAAATATAACATCTTAACAATGACCTTATCATTATGCTAATTAGCTTAACATTCACCTTATCATTTGATAATTTTGAGCAAAACTCCATTTATTATTGTATAAATGTGTACCAAATGGCACTAAATAGTCACAATGCATATTGATGACTTATATTGATAATGATTCCTCTGATGTAAAGCCAAAGTATACAAAAAATATAGCATTTTAACATTGACCTTATCATTATTTTTTGTTGTATAATGTTCACTCCCCCCTGGTAAATGGTTCTTTTGCAACAAATAGATTCCTTAAGTAGATAAGTTGAAAATAATAGGAAAATAAAGTGGCATCTTAACATTCTACTTATCATGTAGTGTGGACGCGGACGGGGACAGGGACGGGGACGTGGACGCCAAGCCTATAGCAATAGCTCTCTTGCACTAAAGTGCAGGCGAGCTAAAAAGGAATTTTGAAAGCAGAATACCTGACATGCGTTGCACTATCATCATTAACCAACCTTTTTCTTTCAGAACAAATAACATACGAAGTGAATTTAACTTTTCCAATTTTTTCTTGCACAAGGCCTAGATGTTCTCAGCTCGCAGACTGAGGAAACATTGAAGAATCTTCAAAAAACCACAATGTAAGACATCATAGAAAAATCGCGAGAAATAACATTGAATTTGGCTTACCACAAGTCGTAACTCCGATGCAATAGACGTCCGATAGCGATTGTCATAATGAGTTTTTATGTGGTACATTAATATATTGAATATTCGTTCTGCAATTACATAATAGGAAAAGAAGAATAAAAAAATTATATTTTATATAACACCAGTGTAAAATAAATGATAAATGGAACTGTACAGCAAAATAGGCTATTACTCCTGACAATAATGTTGCACAGAAGCAAGACATTAAATATCTCAGAATAATTTGGGCTAAAGACCCCGGAATACCACTAAACGATAGCGGTTGAAACGATTATTTGAATAGTATATTCCAACCAGCATATAGTTATAACCTGCATTTGTATTATAAGTAAAAACAATAATCAAAATAATAGTTTGCTTTGTTATCCAGTGGCGTAGCCAGCCCGAAAATTTAGTCATGCTATGCTAATTTTTTGGTGTAATTGACTGCGAAAACAATAAATTTCTAAAGAAATGAATAATGTTAATAACATAAAATTTGCATAGCATGACTAAATCGTCAGGCTGGCTACGCCACTGTTGTTATCTCAAATTACTCACCCATAGCAAGATATATTTTAGAAATTCCATATCTTTTCGCTTTTTTGGTACTCTGTTGTCTTCAAATTGTCCCAATTTTACATGTTATCAATCTGTTGTAATTCTGAGTTATTCTTGGGCTAGGATGTGCAAAAGAATCGAAGAAATAGCATTTAAACAACACTTATGAAAGTGCTAAGCGATAATCGTTGGGCTTACCAGTCAAAACGGCCCCAAGTCAAAACGGCCCCAAGTTAAAATGGCTCATGCTCAAGCGATTGTAGACGGCGGACAATAATATGGGGGATAAAAATATTTACGTGTGATATAAATAACTGCAATTATACTTTATATATACGTTTTCCTATAACCCTTACTAATAAGCTTTTGCTACTTATTAACTAATACTAATAACATAAATTCTCATCAACATCATGGATACATGTGTTCGCAAAATGCTTAAATAAAGAATTTTTTAAACATATTTGTAACATATTTAGAACACATATATATATTTGTTTCGAATAAATAAGATATTCATTCAATTAAACTGAAGCAGCTCGATAAGCGCGCGGCCGTTTTGACTAGCAGTAGTGGGGCCGTTTTAACTTGGGGCCGTTTTGACTGGACACCATCGTTGGTAAGCACGTGCTTAAGACAAGCTCGAATCGGAACTAGGTCAGAATTTCGGCTTTTTGCCCGAATTTGTTTTCCATATTTTTATTATTATGAAATATTATTGCCGGTGATGCGATAATTCATATCATCAGGTATGTTTATATAAAAAATCGGCAAAAATCTTCTAAAGGCTCGATTTTGACGCTAAATATATCAAAATAGTACTGAATATTTGATCTAAACCACTGCAACCGGTTTTCGTTTGCATTTTGGGCAATATCCTAAGGATTAGGCCGCTTTGATGTGTAATATTGAATATATAAAACGCGTGAATAACATACCTGTGAATAGCTATGTATGCATGGCGGTAAAACGCCATATTTCCACTGGAATTTGCAATATTTAGCCTTGAAATTTACTACATTTGCGATTTTGTCAGTTTTAATATTTACTATTATTCCATGCCATGCCCAATATTCTGAAAGGTTCAGTAGTTTAATGTACCACATAATTCAAATGCTACAACAGTTTGAAAGATTTACTTGCCTTTTAAATTCCGACTTTCCTGCTCGATGGGGTTCTGAAGCTAGTGGGGAAATAAAGCCTTTTAATAATGATTGAACTGTAATTTTTTGTGAACTTCATCAGAGAAATAATCGAACAAATACACACATACTGTGATACATTGGCTTGGAATATGCTCCAAAACGTGTGAAATCGAACATTTGTTGTGCAATCACCTTGCAAATATCACAGAAACGGGATAAAAATTTGAATATAGATTAACCAATCTGATTGGTTTTTATTGAACCAATCGTGGAGTACAAAAATTGACCAATGACAAATTGACCTGTGCACAGAAATAACCAATCAAGTTGTCTTAATTTTGCTGAATTATGCAAGAGCCTACAGGCTATAAAACAGAGCCGTCTGCAACCGTTTTCTTCAGGTGAGTGAGTTCTTTCTTTTAGGTAGGATCAAGGTATGTGTAATTATTTTTTTAATAGAAGTAGATCCCCGTGGCCACTCTGTTAGCTAAGAATCTCTGTCCCCGTATCTGGAAACACGGCTCACTGCTTGTCTAACTGTGTTTTGCTCTTCGTTTTCTAGGGAGCTACTAATACTTTTTTTTGTGTTTTTCAGACAAAGACGATCGTAGTTTAGTTTCAGTATCCAACCCTAAGAAGCCACCCCAAACCCATGCCGTCAGTTAAACCCTAGCCACAATTGCCTTCAAGCTAATTGTGAATGCTTGCTTTTCTAGGAACAACTCACCATATTTTTGTCGTTTCAGCTACAGAGTTAGTGGGTTGTGGGTTGTTGGATGTTGTGTCGTCGGTTGTGTGTTTTGTGTTGTACGTTCGTATTGTCTGCCAGTCGGTTTGCGAGTTGCCCTGTAGCTCTCGCTTTTTCCTGGCCACACAAAGAACACATTTTGGATACTCCTTTTTAGGAGATTGGGTTCGATTCCCATGAATGTGTCAATTTTGCGCTGATATCTAATGTAGTCCGTCTCTAATACAAAAGCACAACATCCAACGGACAATCTGCATCCTTTCACCACACCAACTACAAGTGTTGTCCTCATACAACAGAATGGAACTTCCAACAGAGTAAGGAGTAACCAATACCCAAGACGAAGTTCTCGTAACTTCTCAAACAGGACAGGATGCGGCACTTGTTAATGAAGTATTCTCGATGTTTAAGGGATCCTCTCAGTTAGACGTCCGATCAGAGGATATTTCAAAGTGGTAAGCTGATTTAAACTTGTGATTACTGTGCGAATACTTCACCCATTTTAATAAATATGAGACCACTAAACTCATTGCTGTCTGCTCGTAAACGGCGCACACAGATAATTTCGATTTTATCTGGAAGTATTTTATCAAATCAACTAGAAATTGTGTTATCTCAAAGAAAAAACATTTACCTATTTGTATAAATTTAGTTCATTTCAAAAGCTTTCCTATAAGCCAAGATATTTATTGCCGAACTTGTACTTTTTAAAGTTGAATTTTAGAGAAGCGAAAATACGCAAAGCCTTCCAAAAATCTCGCCTAAAAACCTCCAAATATTTCTAGTATACATTGGGATCAATATTTTCATCTATTTTCTTGAAATACAGTCGCTTTGGTGATTTGTAGTGATATTTCCTAACAAGCGTGTTTACAAATGGAAACCGGAAAATGTGCATATAATCTTTGATATTAATTATCACCATATTGGCGAAAATTTGACAATTATGACTTCTAGAGACAATTTTACCCTGGAAATCGATTACCGGGCTTATTTTACTCCCACGGGGTAGGCAACCTTACGTTTTTGATACCTCTAACCTCACGTGACAACCACATGTGCGTGGCTGAGCAACGCCTCGCTATACACAATAACAAATAAAAAAAGCTATATTTTTTCGAGTTTTTCTGCCCATCCTGACTTAAAAACTATCAGAAAAGATAACTAAAGCCTTTACAGTTTACATGTAACGGTTAAAAGACAACAGGATAAAAATAACGAAGAAAATAACGAAATTCCAAAGGCGAGTTATATTTCCGTTTGTAATCCCGTGTAATTTGATATGATTTTTAGAGCTGCACTGCAGTGTCAGGTTAACAGCAATATTGATTAATTTCTGGATTAAAACAGAAGCGATTGGGTTAAAGTATTTTTCTTCAGCTATATTTTGGTGGTATTTTTGTGCTTTTTAAATTAAACGGATTAATTTAAACATTAAAAAACCAAGATAATTTCATGATATCTGGTGATGGAAGGCATGACAGGAATTATGCCTACACAATATGTTGAGACAGCAGAAGTTGAGATTTCGTAAGTTGAAGGATGATTTTGAGTATAACTTGAAAGTTGAAACTTATATTAAATCAAGTAATCTATCCATATTGTTATAAGCAGAACTGATGTGAAGAAGCCACTGTAACTACCTTTTAGTGTCAGTAGAGATACTGTATATTACATGCAATGTATGCCAATGTGCAATTATGAACTTTGAGAACTTACTGAGGCTATAATTAATAATGAGTTACACTGATTATGTTAACAAAGCATTCTTTAAATTATTGGTTAAAAATCAACATTTTATTTTTAGAGCAACAGAAAATGATTTTGAATTTCGTCATCAAGAAAATGTCCATAATTTTGAAGAAGCAATAAGAAAAAGAGAACAATAATATCGATCAAAACTGGATGGAACAAGAAGTCTGACAAGGTAATTTATACTCATTACAACCATTACAAGCCTATCTGCATGCTTTCCATTTGCCAATATATACCTCAAATACAATATTACCACCATTTCATTACTGAAGCTCTCTTCTCCTTGGACCTTTTCCTCATTTCTCTCCAACAAACCTCTTGTGCACTTTAAACACTACATGTTGTGGCTTTAAACTATTTCACCACATAGACCAGTTGTTTTAAGGCCCTTTTGTGGATGACTAATACTAAAAATATTACATGTTGTGCATTGTAAACATACAATGTGTGTGTAACTGTTTTCCAGTTAAACTATCTTGCTACAAACAAGGTTTCGCTTTTTCCCTAACTTCTTGACGAATTTAGAAATTCGCTCTCTGAGCTAAATTTTACCTATGTAGTCTAGATGCTTAAACAAGTGCATTTGGTCAAACCAGACTACCTAGCCAAACATATATATTTCCCGTCATAAATTAGGCTTTTGGTTTAAAGTACATATCTAGAAAGTGCTTTGTGGGATGGTTTGTCGATCATTGTCACTTCTTTTTAATAATTGACTGTTTTTTTTACATCAGAAGTTTAACAAAAGAACTGGAGTTAATGCGATGTGATAGTCGTCGATGTAAAGAGGAACTCAACAAGACAGAGCTGAGAACTCGGGAGCTGGAGAAGATGCTTAAAGGAAAAGATTGGATGATTTCTGATTTGGAAAACACTAATAAGTTTTAGGTCACAGATCTCGAAGCACAACTGGAATATATGAGGAGAATGGGAGACAACTTACAGGAGGATTTATAAGAAAACATGCCGAATTGGATCGCTTTGCTCAGGAAAAAGAAGAAATGTTGGCCAACGCTAAACAAGTAAGTCGCTATTGTAAATGTAGACTAAGCCTTAATAACCGGACTAAAAATCTCAGGAGGCTGGTAACACAGTAAGTTTTTTCTCTGGTGATATAGTTTTCTTGAGTAATTTGCGTTGTTTCCATGAACTGGGCAAATAGAACCTATGTATAATACTTTCACGCAATGTATATATCATCACGTCTAGACAGGACGAGACTTTTATCATGCAGGCTAGCTGGGAAAGCCTTGGCATGTTTATGCAAAAGGAAAGGTCAGAAGTGTGTATGCATGAGTACAGTTCAACATATCTTGACACCACTGATCTTGCAGTTCTTTAACTTTCGCATGTATGCAGGTAAAAAATAACTCAAACCAGTCAACTATGATCATTGCATGTTGCATGAGAATTGCATCTAAGTTTGGTTTGTTGAAAAATAAAATCTATGAAATTCTGCAGAGTGGATTTCTATTTAGACATCCTTTCAGACTGCCATAATTCGAATTCACTGTGTGAAATTCCTCAGGGGGGGAGGGACAGGGGAGAAGACCATGTATATTGAAATGGGTTCTTGCCTAAATCAATCACATTATGCATTTCTGATTTCTGTCCTAATGTATGTTCATTGGCGGATCTGGCGTAAGTCGAAATGCATTATTTATTTTGATTGTGAACCTCCAAAGGTTCATTACTCGTGTCTCGTGTCTACGAGTAGCTTTTTTTGAAAATATTTTTAAGTCTCAATATGTCCAAAATACAAATGTGAGCTGTTCTAATTTATTTTTACTAACCTAAGCTCTGCCACAGGGCATGTCTATTTCAAAACTTAGAATATATCCGCTTTTGAACCGAAAAACCATATTTAACCTATAATACTAGGCTGTTGGAACGCCTTATTATGACTTTCATGAATTCATCCGTTCAAGAATTGTGCTTTTGAACAAGTTGATGTTGAAATTCGACAACTTTTTAACAATTCGAGAGGAACGACTTGATTTTTTTATTACACAGGCTAAATCAATCAATCGCAGACTGAAAGAGCAAGATGGACCAACAGAACCAGGAATTTTCCAGATTAACTGTAGCAAAGGATGTTGAATGGGAAACGTTGCACCAACAGGGGGATCAGATGAGATCTGAACTCGCGCAAAGAAAAAAATAATCTTGAGAGGTGCGAATAAACGTTGAATATAACTTTGTTTTCTCGATTGTTTTTAAATTCCGACCTATCGTAAAACGCTCCTCAATAATTGCAGGCTCACCGTATGAGGTGATTTTTCACGGGGCTTAAACATATCTGGTAAGATAAACCTAGCCATTAAAGCCATTCCATCTATCCGTCTAAAACATCTCCTTTGCTGAGCTGAAGTACAACTATGTGTTAATGAATATTGTACTATAAATAAGTATTGATAATTAACGATTTTTTAGGATAAAGAAAAAGTGTAAAAGATCGAAAATCGTAAAAAAACATACCTGCAATCGCCATTTTTCTAAATTACGGATCCTGTTATGTTTTGATATTACTGGTCGTGTATCGTGTTGAAAATTTGTAGTAAAGATGTAATCTCAGGTCTTGATTCAACTTTTTTCTTTAGGAGGCAGAAAGAGTTGTCTTTATCTTTGGAGAGAGAGTCGTCGTTGGAACGTTCTAGGGCTCAGCTAGAGTTAGATTAGCAGCGCAGATATGAATAGGAAGAAAGAACTGGGTATGATAAACAAGAAGAACTAGTTAAGAATTTAACACAAGGCAAAGAAGAGGTGAATAAATATCAATATGCAAATATGTAATATGTAAAATGTTACACCCCTTTCCATTGCCTCTACCCTACTTTTTTTTAATTTGGAATCCCGTTGAAGTTTCAGCCCTACAAGGTCCATATGAAGTGATATAATGTTACTAAACTGATCATCAGGGACTTCAACGTCAACATTAAGGTTGATAGAACTCTTCTGTATTTTTTCACATCAGGCGTTATCGTTGGTGTAACAACAGAAACGTGAACTGCTTCACAAGGATAGTGTTATCCATATTTTGAAGACACAAAGAGATGAATCAGTTTCTATCCTCAAGCTTCATGGACTAACCGTGCCTTCCCAAATATCAGGTGAGTTTTACACCTTGATTGTAGGTAGATGGTAAACGCTTAGCGTTCGGTTTTTATACGGCGTATATGGGGCCCTAGCTCTTCCAGCTGGGCAGATTAACACAAATAGAGGAAATGATGTAAATTGAACAAAATTTTGTACAAGGTGTGACGGGGTGTAAAATCCTCGAGAAATTTTAAAAATGATCTAAAACATTGGTGCCAAATGAGATGGTTGTCCAATACTGTTGCAAGCATACGGGTCGTTCGTTTCGTAAAATTTTTTATACGGATGGTAAAGTGGTTTAGGCATTTCTATTCGTTAGAAGTAAGCAACCATTCATCCAAGCACCATTGGTATCGAATAGACTCTTAGTTTACGATCCGTAAATAGACTATGTCGATTCGTAAACGCATTTTGTCGACTAGAACATGAGGCATGGAAACTAGCGTGTGTCTAAGGCGAAAGCAGCTGTATCCCCAAACAGACTGTGTCCATTGGTAAATAGGGCAAGTTGTGTCTATAGGATAAGGCGATGAAGAAATTGTCGATCCGTACCATTGGTATCAAATGGACCGTTGGTTTACGATCCGTAAACAGATTTTGTCCATTGGTAAAAAGGAGATGTGCCAAGCTACAGACCCCTCTAAATCTTGTCGATCCGTACCATTGGTATCGAATGGACTGTTCGTTTACGATCCGTAAACAAACTGTATCGATTCGTAAATTGGGCCAGATGTGTCTAGGACAGGGCTCTCAAAAGCTTGTCGATCTGTACCATTGGTATCGAATGGACTGTTCGTTTACGATCCGTAAACAAACTGTGTCAATTCGTAAATAGGGCATGATGTGTCTAGGATAGGGCTCTGAAAAAGTTGTCGATCCGTACCAATGGTGTCGAATGGACTGTTCGTTTACGATCCGTAAACAGAGTGTGTCGATTCGTAAATATAGGGAAGATGTGTCTAGGATAGGCCTCTGAAAAGCTTGTCGATCCGTACCATTGGTATCAAATGGACTGTTCGTTTACGATCCGTAAACAGAGTGTGTCGATTCGTAAATAGGGCATGATGTGTCTAGGACAGGGCTCTCAAAAGCTTGTCGATCCGTACCATTGGTATCGAATGGACTGTTCGTTTACGATCCGTAAACAAACTTTGTCGATTCGTAAATAGGGCATGATGTGTCTAGGATAGGGCTCTGAAAAAGTTGTCGATCCGTACCATTGGTGTCGAATGGACTGTTCGTTTACGATCCGTAGACAAACTGTGTCGATTCGTAAATAGGGCATGATGTGTCTAGGATAGGGCTCTGAAAAAGTTGTCGATCCGTACCATTGGAATCAAATGGACCGTTGGTTTACGATCCGTAAACAGATTTTGTCCATTGGTAAAAAGGAGATGTGCCAAGCTACAGACCCCTCTAAATCTTGTCGATCCGTACCATTGGTATCGAATGGACTGTTCGTTTACGATCCGTAAACAAACTGTGTCGATTCGTAAATTGGGCCAGATGTGTCTGGGATAGGCATCTGAAAAGCTTGTCGATCCGTACCATTGGTGTCGAATGGACGGTTCGTTTACGATCCGTAAAGACTGTGTCGATTCGTAAATAGGGCGAGATGTGTCTAGGACAGGTCTCTGAAAAGCTTGTCGATCCGTACCATTGGTATCAAATGGACTGTTCGTTTACGATCCGTAAACAGTCACGAAACGAAAATGTAGTTTACGAATGGTGAAAAAGGTTGTCGATCCGTATGCATGCGACAGTATTGGACATGTATGCCAAATGAGGCATTTTTTGAGATTGTTCTTGTATATCACAACTATGTAAATATAGTCTCTTTATCTAAATTCGTAATTCAACTAATGATTGTATGCCGTGGTAACAGGAAACTCATCGATTCCAAATTCAGTCTCCGTTATTCGCCGTAATAAAGTTGTTGAAAATAGATTGCAAGTCGAATCATGCTCCTCTCGTAGTGGCTATACTTAAAAGCCAGCTGATGTGCTTAAAGAGGTAACTGTCGCAAGATGTATAAACTTTAGATGCGGACGGAAATATATCAACCGAAAATATCTTAGTATTTTCGAAACTTTACTGATGATATTACTCGAAGTGTAACGCGCATGTAATTTTCACTGAAATAACGCGATTTTTCTTCATGGCCAAAACACTTGACACATTCCAAAATTCTTTTGAGTTTGTGCTGATGTAATTGAGGACATACCCTGCGCTCGCGAATCTGAAACCTTCACATCGATACCTCCCCCATTGCTTCGCAAGATTTTATCATTTCTCTAGATTTTATCATTCATGCATGTTTCACAAATCTCAATTGTGACAAAAGCATGACGTTTTCGTCCGGGTTAAGTTCAGACTTATCTTTTCTTGTTACAGTCGAAGATGTTGCACCAGCAGCGAATATGAATAATGAAGAACTTCAAGTTCAGAACGAAAATTTGCGTCATGTTATTCATCAAATGATAGAGGATTTGGAGGATTTGACGAAACAGTTGACTCAACGTACCACTGGATCGATTACTAATGCAGGAGATGGCGTACCAATCAGAGAAGGTATTTGTATGATAATAAAGCAGGAATATATTTCATAACAAAACAATTTCAAAAATTTAAAGCCAGATTGTGTTCTATACATGGATGATTTTAATTTTTTCTTAAAACCTTATCTTTAATATAGCTACTCTACTGTAGCCTGGGTTTGACCCCCCGTAGCTTATTATAGGCGATCCCCGTTCTACTCTACATATATAGCTTCTGTATTTTGAAAGACATATTTTTAGAATGACTAATCGTTATAGTGATCGTAACAAAGATCAGTGTGAATGGAGTTAATCTGGTATTTTTTTACTAAACATTTCAGAATATGTGACAAGTCTGGAAAAAGAAATTCGAGAAGTGAAGGCGAGAAACCGCGAACTGACCCAATCCATGGCTAATACAAATGCTAAAACTGAAAATACTGAGCCAACTTACGTTTTAGATTGAAGTAAGGATGATGTTCATGTAAGAGGTCTGGTGGCACAGCTGAACAGCACAATCGGTAAGTGGTAGATAACAAAGTTCAACCATACAACAGCAGTTCAAAAAGTTTAAACATAGCAAAAAGCTTAAACATAGCGTCATTAAATTGAAACATTACCTCATCCCCCGCATACCCAGCAGTTTTCATTGTGTTATCTGAATAGTTATAGTTGAACGTTGAATTAGTTTTCTGTGTCTAATGTCAAATTTTAACCTACAATGTCCTGAATAATTTCTGCGGGTTTTCACTCCGCGCGCGGGTAGCATAAAAAACAACCCCTACATACATTGCCTCGATATGCTGATTTATTACACCGAGTTACATAACTGTTCACTATCTTTACTGCAAATATTTCCGTTAAGTCAAATATTTGACTTTCAAGTTGCGTAATTTTGTGGGTCATTAAAAAAACACTATAGCATGTTGATTAGCCCTGAGAATTTACCCAAGTGAAAATTTGAAAAAAATGCCTGTATTTTTTTGCAAAATACAACTGGGGTATCAAGGATTAAGATTTTTTTAAGAGGTGATATTCCAATCGCATTGTACTATTGACCATGGTAACTTAAATTGTGGGAATCGCACAAAAGGCATTCTGTATTAACCGACTAGATTTTCAGATAAGGTATATAATATAATTGTCTATTTCACAATATATATTCTTGCACGTCTTTAGGTAGTTTACGCCAAGAGAAATTTGATCTTACATCTCAATTAAGAAAATGTGAAGCAACTATCCTTCATCTTCAAGGTTTACTTCATCATTCTTCAGAAGAGGTGAGTCTTCTTCTCTAAATGGCTATAGGTCAATTGCATGATCAACGGTCTTTCTCTTTTTAGGTTCGTCAGAAGCAACAAAACATTGACCAACTTCACTATCAGTTGGCAACAGAGAATCGTCGGGCCAACGAAGAAATAAATTGGCTTTGAAACAGCAAAACTCTGATCTCAAGCTGCAGGTAACCCAAGCAAGACACCAGGCTGACGAATTTTACAAAACGGGTTTGGAGAGAAATATTGATGCTGTATCATTAGGAAACCAGGTTAGTTCAATGATATTGTTAAATAACTAGATCGCAGATGCAAAATGGAAATAATAAACACATTCTTTAGGTATATAACATTAAAACAAATTAAACATGTAAATGTATCACAGTCTGAAGCTTATCGGTGAAACCGCTTTCAATTGTACTTTCCCGTGTTGTTGGTTAATTTGCATTAATTTATATGCGCTTTTAAAACCGCAAGCAGTTAAGAGAGGATTTGATTAGTTACATTCCTGCCGGATGTTAGTAACATCCTGGGAGATTCACTGAGCAACAAAGCGAGCAGGTATAATGCTGAACCTGAAATATCAGTTGTGACAGTCGTACGCCTGTATTCTAAAAGCTCCTTCAAACTTGTTCACGACTGCCGTAGAACATTCTAAATCTACTAAATTGAAACGTATAGATTGTGATGTAACCCAATTAACCACTGTCGGTTGCTACACCATATATAGATGGCATATCCCTTGCTGTCCTGATCCACCTAAAATGGCGTGATATAGCTATGACGCTAAAGTAGCTATGACGCTATATAGTCAGTGTTGTTATATTTCATTCCAACCCGTTCACAATTGGTAAATTATGATCTTTTCCATTGAATGCGGCGGGAAAACCTAAAATTTCTCATCAACACATAACAAACCCTAAATTCACTGTAAAACTATTTAGTCAGAATTTGTATTTTAAACGTTTTCCTTTTTTCAGAAATCGCTGATATGAATTAAGGGAGTAGTATCGTCAGCTGAAGGATTACACACAAAACTACGTCAAGCTGCTCAACGGATTAATGGATTAACAAAAGAACGCGAACAGTTGATTAAAATGGGAAATAAGCTGAGAGCTAAATTGTTGAAATTTAAAGGTATTTGAAGGAATGTTTTGGTATATCTACTGTATTAAGATGGCATTAATGTATATACGTGATTAGTCGAAATAAATTACTGGAAGCTAGTGAATGAATATTGAATGCATTCTTCGTATAGTCATGACGCGTAACTTCTGCTGCTCGGAAAAGATTAACTGTGCAAAGATTTCCCGCGATGATTACGTCACTACCACATGTAGACGTGACCAGGCCCCAGAACACCGCGGGAAAACGTCTGCACACTGCGCACGCCAGCCGGTAAAAAGGAATATGGCGGAAAATTTCAATAGGAACAGTTGAAACAAAACATGCGTGTTCATTGATAAGATATAAGTTAAACCTACGTGAAAATGTACTGAAAACGGGTGGACTAAACATTCGTTTAATACGTCCTAGCGTCCAAGTATGAAATGAAATTGTTTTGCAGGGTGTCTCAGAACATTTTTGATAAATTGTTAAGAACAAAAGTTTAAACCTATATTATAGAAGTTGAAAAAAACCACAATTATTGAGAACACGAAAATTTCTTGTTTCTCCGCAGCGTTCCCGCTTTGACATTATGAGAGAAACTGAAATGTGAAATCGATTACATTTAGTGTACCGCTGTCACCGTTTCGATCTTAGAATCTCATTCTTTCGTTATATTAGGAGAAAGAAAATCACCTTCAATTGAAGCAAGTCAATCATTCAAAGATCCGCAGAATGTGGCGCAAACATCCCGATCCCAACTACGGGGTTTGGAACAATTGCAATATCAACTAACAAGCAAAGAACTGCGGTATGCACAGAGAACACTAGCGAGGAATAATGATCAGCATTCGCTATCTCCTCGGAAAAATAATTCCGCGTCGGCCGAAACACTTCAAAAACACTCCCAAAAGGCGGAACTCACAGAAAATGCAGGCTTACCAGAAACGTCTACTGGGCGTGACGACATCGTCTCACTATGGCAACCTTCGTTCTCATCACACGACCGCGCGTCATTACAAGTTGTCTGGAAACTACTAGACGAGGACAGTCCTGGATTCACCCCTCGCGGAAATGGCGGGGACGAAGTCGGCAAGTCTCAGCTTCGGGAAAGTTCCTCAACTACGGACAGTTTCACGGTCAAAGGTCAGCCTAGTCACGTGCATCTCAAGCCAGAGAGTTCCAAGGCTGCGCAGTCTGTCAAGGCAGCTGGTAAATGGACACCCTCCCAGGTAAAAGCGAAGATAATTAAGAAATTATAATATAAGAGACGAAGATATTCGTGAGGGATTGTAGATATTTTTATTCACCTATCATTTTGTTTTTAACCAGACCCGTCATTCATAGCAGGTGGAGGCTGTGCTGGGAATGCCGTTAGAGCTATGTTAAACCAACACAATCACAATAGGTTTTTTTAATAGTAAAGAGTAAAGTAAAAACACTAATTCACATTCACTATCGCAATCGCTATTTGATAGTCAAGTTGAGCCTCACTTCCAATCTGTCCGTAATTATCCAAATTTCTTACTTACTATTGATCCTCGTGCAGTATTAATTTATACCTATGACGTTTGCATGCATTATGATAATTATCCTACATCCGCACAATTTCCAACACACTTCCCCTATTTGATTCTCGAAGAAGCGAATATAAAAAATTGTGCCTCGTTCAGTGTTCACCGTCCCAATAAATGTTAACTCGATTAATATCTAATTTTACGCAACTGCTCGAAATATATGTTGAAATCTAAAGCACTAAGTTCTATACTGTCTTTCGTGTACGACCAGATCTAATGATCTTGATCTAATGACCTGTATCTTCAATTGGCTCCTGGAACTTAGCTAGACTCCTTGGCGCGGTCACGTTCTCTGGTAGGCTTTTCTCCCACGCTGTCCATCTAGCTTCTCCCACGCTGTCCTCTAGGCAGTTTGGCGTCCCAGGGGACCTTCGCGTCACAACACTCGCGGGGAGAGGAACTTTCCTTGCAGAGTAATGGGCGAAATCAACCCGAGATGATCATAAACTTTCGCGATCTTCCCGAGGACTCCTCTCTTCGTCGGACTTGCTGGGTCAGCAGGAAATTCGATTTTGTATGGCTTGAGCATGTATGGCTTAGGCGGCCAAAGGAGTGGAAATTCGGTCCCAAGTGGCTTGGACCTCACACTATTTTAGGAAGACTAGGCGTAAATTATAAGATTAGATAAGAAACAGGTCGAGAGTTCATGGTCCATCACGACAATCTAAAACCTTACTTTATGCCTACTGAGCAGGGAAAGTTTGCTTGTCCTGGTTTGTTTGTCCTGGTCAGGAATCGGGAGATTTTGATCGTAGTTTCTGTATCAACTTTTAACGTTTTCGGGACAAAAACTAATGTGAGAAGAAAGTGTGGCGCTCGATCAAAATGATTGCGTAAATAATACATATCGCAATACATAATCTTGTAACTACAATTTGCTAGAGGAACATGATGATTAAGGGATTATGATACGTAATGACGGAATGTAATATAAGAAAGAAATTGATATAAATAAATCAGACTGGGGCTGGTAGCCGTGCTGTGACCGACAGTGACTGTGCCTTATAGGATCTTAGGTGTACGCTGCTTGGAAACGAAGATGTTGTGACGGATGGTACCGTGTAAACGCAGCTTAAGAGAAGTAGAGTTATTTAATATCTGTTGCGTTATAATGGAGATTTGGAGTACAATTTCAGCTATGAAATAAGTGGCAAATGTTGAAACATTCTAATGAATCTGAATTGCCATTTTCCTCAAATTTTAATTTGTGACCTGTGAAATCAGACTTGACTTCATTAAAAATACAAAACAATCGCACCGTAACCATTTGCTTCACCAGGGCCGCATATAACTAGCTTATGGTGAAATAACGCTGTTCCTTTTCTCAATGGACTCCTTACCTATGATATTTTAGCGTCAGCACAAATGAATCAATTAGGTTAAAGCCACGAATAAGATTCAGGTTTGTGCGTTTTAGACAAAATAGAAATCATCATCATCAAAGCAAACGTATATAAACTTATGTAAAATCCTTCGAAAAAAGGTTGTGTAAAATAAAAAAATAAAATAAATTTAAACAGTGTGGTGATTCTCCTGAAGTTCTACTGGTCTAGTGGTGAACGCAATGCTCTCCCATGATTCAAACTTGGGGTTCGGGTCCAGGCATGTCCGTTTTTCATTATGTCCTTCGTGAAAAAGATGAATAAATCAAATAATCATAACCATTCAGCACATGATCTCGTAGTCTAGTAGTGAAGACAATGGTCTCCCAAGTGGTAAATCGATGGTTCGAATCTTACGATAACCGTATTTTCATTATGAACTTCGTGAAAATGATAAAGTAAATCAAATAATCGTAACCGTTCAGCACAAGATCCCGTTGTCTTGTGGTGAAGGCAATGGTCTCACAAGTGGTAAATCGATGGTTCGAATCTTACAATAACCGTTTTTTTTTATGAACTTCGTGAAAAAGATGAAGTAAATTAAATACCCAAAGCCATTCAGCAGAAGATCTTGTAGTCAAGTGTCGGAGATAATGGTCTCCCAAGTGGTAAATCGATGGTTCAGTTCCTATCATAACTACTTCTCATTATGAACTTTGTGAAAAGGATTATGTAAGTTAAATAAACATAGCCTTTTAGCACAAGAAATTGTAGTCTAATGGTCAGATGTTGGTCTCATGTGTTGAAAGTCGGAGGTTCGAATCTCGTTTGGAAATTTTCGTTATTAATATTACATGTTAAGGTTATGGCGAAAAGTTTGTGTAGGCTTCCAACAATCGCTAGTTAGCCTTGTGGTAAAGTCGTGCACTATCAAGTACAAGATCGTGGTATCAGGAACAGAATGGTACGTTTCTCATGGCGGAAAGACAGAAAAAGGGTAGGTATGTTGTTCGGGTTTATACTCGGTTAATCTTTGGAAATCGAAGTTAATCTTTAAGGAAATCAGAGGATAAGTAGGGTGAATGAGGGGTATATGAGTACAAAAAGACTTAGTAATTGGGCGGCCTCGGCTCCCGGGAGCAGGGGGAGGGTATAGGTGAGCAAACAGTATGTAAAACGTTGAAGTCTTTTTGTACTCATTTAAACCTCTATACCCCTATTTATCCTCCTATCTAGAAAAGCGGGCGAGTGAACGGGAAACACAACTCGAGGAGTGCATGCCGCATGCGATTTTCGCACGAAGCTTCCAACCATGTTCCCAAGACCTTTATAGAGGGGGGGTTGAGGTTGGGGGGGAAACTGGTCCTATTTTAATAATATCGCTGCTATTTCGCCGTTTAACAAGATGATGTGGTCGTGTATGGCCGCGTTGACAGACACCGCAGAAATTGGTGTTTAAGACGTTTCAACCCGAAAATCTAATCGCTGGTTCACAATTGTGCATTTCTGTATCGCCCTATCAAAGAGAAACCTTTTGAATATCTTAAAAAAGTTCAATTTTTCTTCTGAATACGCATTCTGCAATCTTTTGACAGCTCATCATACACATCTGACCGCTGTGAAATGGCCATTTTGAGGCTTAAAGTATACACAAGGTTATTAATTCAGACGATTCGTTTTTACCGTGAGCAAGCTTCAAATCTTTTGTGCAAGACATATTTTCTTGAATATTTATAAATCTTTTTCCTCACGAAGTTTGAAGTCTAAGTATCGAGAATTGCGGCTAAGCCTATACCAATTTCCGCGGTGTCGCGTTGACACGTCGTAGTTTGCACAGGATTGAAGATTTAATATAAATATAAGCGCGAATTCCAAAGGCAAAGTGTAAGACAAAGCGAATGTATCATGAGGTTTATTTACATTTTTGATCAATTGAACTTCTATACTTTTTAAAGTACGATGTGCTTCTGAATTTCGCGATCCAACATTTAAGTTCGCAAGGCATCTAAATGCGAATATGAACTGTATTGTTTATGTTCAGAAGCTCTATATTGAAGACTGGCCATTCGCCGGAGTTAACGCCAGAACAGGCGTCTTGTTTCATTTAGTTTGCTCGCAATAGCACCGTAAAGTTGGCTATTTTTTGCCAACGAGTTGGCTGGTTGGCGGCACGGGCGACCGCAAAGCTTTGTAAAACTTCGATTTACTAGCTTTACGAAGAGTTTTTGTAAAAACTAAAGAATGGCCATTCGAGAGAAAGCTTATGAGAATATCCTTAATTTTAATATAGCTCAGTGGGTTAAATCCAGTGCGGCTAAATCGCAATGACATTACAATTGCTATTCATTAGACTTGTGATTTATAAATCGCAATAACCGATAACAATTGCAATTTATAAATCGGAATGACATTAATTGCACTTGTGATTTATAAATCACAATTGGAAACGTCAATACCTGATGGGCAATGAGAACATGTGATTGCGGGCAGTGGGCAAGCCTTGTGATTTAGTAAATAGCAATAAATTTGTGAATAAAACGACAAAGTTGATCCAAAATCCCAAGAAAAACTTGTTTATTTGTGACATTGAGTTTCTTTACACACGGCGCCCCATACCACAGAATACCTAACAGAAGTAGAACTCTGTACTATTTTTCGTAAGTGTGATTCGTCATGATTCGTCCGCAAGTGCATTTTTTTGAAAAGTCACCCCCCTGCCAAAATTTAGCAATATCCCAAGCGCCATATTGCTAAATTTTGGTAGGGGGGTGACTTTTCAAAAAAATGCACTTGCTAAGTGACGAATCATGACGAATCACACTTACGAAAAAAGTACAGGAGTTCTACTTCTGTTAGGTATTCTGTGCCCATACGAACCGCAGATCAGTGATACGAACCCGAAGCTGAATATCTTGTCATAGCAAGCAGCGGTCATCTTTAAAAGTCTAGCGCATTTGCATTCGAAGCCTCTGCGGAGGAGAGAGGCAACTTGCGAAGCAAGTTGATTTACTTGATTAATTAAATATTCAACACTTAAATGGCCACTTAAATGGAAGCAACTAGTAAATGGGCGTGTCAATAACATTCATCACAGGCACAGCGAGAGCCGAGAAGCCTCTAGCGAGAACAATCAAAACATAGGCAAGTTTGACAAGTGAACATGGCTAAATTTCATCTTTTAAATACTCTCAGTTCACTCGCGTTTTGTTTCTTGTTGTCCTTAAATGTGGTAAGTTAAAATGATAGCTTTGTATATATACGCGTATGAATAATGAAAGGATTCAGTTTGATTTTAGCACGCTATATCTTGCCTGACAGCGTCTGTTTACGCTTGTAAACAACAATAACGTAATTGTTGGAATTAGAATTTCTATATTACTCGTCAAGATGGAAATACGGTTGTACTCCTTCAAGCATGTAAGGGATAAGAAATGTAAGGGCCAGGAATTCCAGCTATTCGACCTTATGTAGAAACCGCAAAAACCGCGTATTCCTACCTCATA